GTTCAGAATCTGCGGAAATTCCAACATGAATGCAATACCTACCGCCATGAAATCAGGACAATATCTGTATGCGGGATTGAAGAAGTATGCGGCCACATAGAGAGGGTGATGAAATAACGAGTTCCAGTGATAGTCCATCACGCGCCAGAATGGCCCGTACTTTCGTGCATCGTCATTGTGAATAGATTTGATTGCCAGCTTTGCCCGGTACATGTAACTGTACACATATGGCAATGAAAGCATCTCACCCCCATCAATCATCTGAACAACCTGCATCACTGGATCGACCGATTTCAAAACATACTGAACCTTCTTCCAAAACGAAGCATTTGAAATGATCTTCTCCACTTCTCTACCCCCGTCGGATTTGGCAGCCGGTGACGACATCCAGCCATTGGAATGGAACAGCCCTCTGAGACTGACCCTGTGGTCCATCAGACTCTGCAGAGTCGCAAAACCTGACGCATAGCGTGTGACAGAGGGCCTTAGAAGCTCCTGCCCCTGAGTGAACTCATTCTTCATGAGATTCAGCAGCAAAGGTTGATTATAAACGAATTTTGTGATTTTTTGGCTCTTCTCCATGCACTCAGAGACGACTTCGAGCTTTGAGAAGTCTTCGAGAACCTGTTCTGTGCAATGCATTGCACATGGGGTCCAATACAGGTTCTTTCTCTTCTCTTCAAGCAATTTTCCAGCAGTTCTATAGGCAGCAGTGTTATGTGTGACAACCTGACAAGAAATACACAGATTTTGAAGCAAAGCACCAGAGATTAGTGGGGAAAATGGCATGACGCACATCATACCAGTAAGTAACCACAGACAACGTTTTCCATACTTGATTGAAATCCGACCATAACAGAATATCCAGAATACGTAGAAAGAGTAATCTAAGGAGAGTACCTGCACGATGTTCTCCTCGCCCACGTCCTCAACTAGTTTGTCGAGGTGTTTGAACAGGCTGAAAGCATCTTCAGTTACATCGGTGGCATCAGTGGAGGAGTGGAAGTATATACCGCGGGGACATGAGACCAAGAAACTGATCAGTGTCCTGCCCTCTGTGTTGACCCAAGTGTCTGCGATTATAGAACAACCAGTGACCATCCACGAAGACCTGTACTCAGCCAAGTAGCCTTTGATAGTCGAGATCTCGTTTTGTAAGAGCCGACCAGTCAACAGTTGTCTCGAGGGGGCAACGAATCCCTGTCCGTACATACCAACCAGTTCGATCATCTTATGGAAGTAGAGAGAATTTGCGGCCTCTGCAGGAACTCCTGCGTGGTGGAAGAATTTGCATATTGCGGAAGCGAGTTCCTTTCGGGATACTATTCTGCTTGAACCAGTATGTGTTTTTCTCTGTTTGCTCAGAGACAGGGTTAAAACGTGCGGTGGTTTCAGAAGAGGGTTCGGCCTTGATCTCTTCGGCTTTGGTTCAGAAACGGCTCTTATGGGCATTGCATTGAAGCTTTTCCTATTGCCTTGGTTAAACCTTCTATCTCCACGAACCGACCTGTCCTCGCTAATTGAACAGAAATCATCATCCTCTTGATCATCTTCTCGGTCAGCATTCTGCATGAGTGCATTGAAATTTGAAACTCCAACGTCATCGAGTCTCGTCTGTCTTCTCCCGGCACGATGCCATTTCATATTCTCTTTTATCTTGAGATACACTTCCTCGGGAGTGTTTTTACATGGTGCTACCTCTCCGGGTATTCTGGCAAGGTGTTGCTTGAAACGGTTGATGCCTCCACTAACTATTTTATCACAGTAATTACATTTAACCTTTTTCTTCCTCTCATCCTGAGCAACACCATGTTCCCAGCCAGGATCTATGTACCCTGATGACCGGAGATTCCCATCACCAAAGGGCTGCTTTCCCTTGTTTCTAAACCAGCTGCTGTGTTCTTCTTCTTCCCCATCCTCGTCGTTGTTAGAGCGCTGGAAATTTGGAGAAGGCTGTCCACTGTGACCTTCGGACAGCCTCAGTTTCCTGCTGGAACGACACCGTTCCAGATTCTCCTTCATCCTCAGGCATACTTCCTCTGGAGACTTTTCGCAATACGTTACTTCCCCTGATACCCGGGCCAAATGTTGCTTCAGTCTGTATATTCCACCGCTAACAATCTTTCCGCAGTAATTGCATTTAACCTTCTTCTTCCGCTCGTCCTGTGCAACGCCATGCTCCCATCCGGGGTCAACTAGTCCAAGAGAGCCAGTAGGAGCCATGTATCAACCATCCGGTAGCTCCAAGAGCCTTACTAGAAGGAACGGCTTCAGTCGCTATCCACCAGATGAACTGTGTACAAGACACAAGATGCAGAAATCTGCATTGACAAATTAGTAATTTCCTCGTAATTACATCATACGAGAAAGGAATGCTTTTAAGTAATTTACCGATCAGAAAGCGTTCAGAAGATCATGTTTTGCTGTGCAGCACACTGATCTTTCTCATTTGAGCAGCCCGTTATGGCTCCCGCTTATGCATGGGCTCCGAGTTGTCGGAATTCAATATTTCTGAAATCCACATATAGCTGCACATTGTGACATACGACGATTGGATCATAATTCCATCCATAAATACCGCAACAAAGATCAATCCTACGACGATTACAACTGCGTCGGCATCAGTTCTTCTTTCTCATTCGACGTCTCGCAAAAGCTATTTGCTCGTCTCGAATTCTTCCCACGATTTAGGGCAGGAAGACTCAGAAAAGGAGAAGATGTTTATTCCCTCTCATGTTCGATTCAAATTCCAAAACATCGCCATCTTTCGTACCAAACAAGGGAAGGGAAAGAACCGCATTTGTCCGTTCAGCGTACCTGGGAACCCTCCGGATACTTGGCTCGAAGCTTCGTCGGATCTCAAACCCTCGAAAATGGAGGAAATTTTGAAGCAAGGCATGAACGCATTGAGTTGAGCGGCGGGAGAAGAACGAGCTACGAAACGGGAACGAGTCGCGGGCGAGATCAAGCTGGGTGAGGAACGAGATAACTCGACTCGGGCGATTTCTAGGGTTTCTGACCTAGCCGACTCGTCCATCGTTATCATTTTTTAACTTGGTTTGCAGTTTGAGGGCTAATAATTACAAGAAATTGCAGAGCAACCCCTAGACAATAGAAAGATGAGGGAACCGTCCCCATCTCTTTAGTCTAGTCAGCAATACCCCACTAGCTATTCTCGTACGGCGATCCACGGCTTTTGTATGCGTTTACAGCAAACGGTTAGTTTATTTAAAAATCGAACCAATCTGGAACCCGAATTAAACTAAACCGATAAAATTTAAACAATCATTTAGTTATAAGTTTCGTACATGTAATAAATAAATCTGAAATAATCGTAATAGAATAAATCAAATTCGAATTAATAGTAATTATAAATTAAAAAAATCGAATTTAACTGTTTGTCCATGTAATTACGTAATATATGATATATCTAAATGTAAATAGAGAAATTAGCGTATATATTTACAGAAATTTATTTAAAGTTTATTGGATAAATTATCGAAAGTTGTTTCATTTATTATTATAATCCAATAGAATTGAAATTTCATTTGATCATTATTTTTTACTTGATTATTATTTAATCATAATTTTAATTAAATATAACCGAACCGAAATAACCGAGTCGTATAAACCCAAATAACCGTTTGATTATCGATTATCGATTTTCAAATCTTTATTAGGTAGAAAACAATACAACAGCTAAATCAATTTTTATTTCGAAATTAATGTCGAAACTGCACACTTCAGTGAAGATTAAGATTTGGTTCTCTCGTCTACGTATGCATACGTCGCGATAATATAATCAAAACAAAATATAAAATCGTTAATTGAACTAAACACTTATCGACCGTCGACTGTCAGCACCTAATCGAAATATCTATATATACTATGGATTGGATGCAACAGATAAGTCACAAAAGATGGTATTAGTAATTTTATATTATCCCGTATTTAAATATTAAGATTTTGGAGATACGACGAAATATATTTAGAAACATTTGTTAGACGTTAGCTTGTTTATATACTATATTCAAATACCTTTGTTGAACAGGAAAAATAAAACAATCGAATATCGATTAAATTACATCATACTCGATTTCTTTTTAATTTTTATTTTAAAAATATATTTTCTTAAAAACGAAACATGCAATTTCCAAAGCAACGATATATAAGGCCTGAACATGTTTAAGTATTATATATCTCGAAAGAACCGACAGAAGAAGAACAAGGAGGTGACAGAAGAGCAAAACATGAAGTAGTTGAACACAAAATACACAAGAAAACGTTCATCTTCTACTGAATCCCTCCTCCTCCGTCGTCAGAGCTCGTCGTCACGGGAAGAGGAGGACAAGCTATCTTTGACCTGTCGGGATTTCTCCGAGGCCGAGTCGTACTTCTCAGAAGCCTTCTCCAACGTCTCCCCGGCTCTGTCCTTGGCCTCCTTTGTCTCCTCGGAAGCTTCTTCTGTCAGATGGTGAGCTTTGTCCTTGGCGGCGCCGGCCACGTCGCTCGCCTTCTCCTTGGCGGCGGCCACCGCTTCGTCGAGCTTCTCCTTCGCTTCTCCGACCTTGTGCTTCGCCGCTTCCTTCGCCTCTCCCGCCTTCTCCGCCACCGTTTCTCCGGCGTCTTCGTGTTTCAGACCGACCTTCTCCTTTGCCCACTCCGTCCATGTCTCCGACCCTTCCTCCGTCGCGACGCAACTTGACAGCGCCGCCGCCGCCACCACGGCCAACGCCACCATCATTGTCACCACCAGTCTCCTCGTCCCTCTCATTGTCCTCCCCTTTTCTCTTGTACTTCGATTAGTGTCGATATCCATACCTATCTATCTATTTATACCATCCGAAGATCCATCCAATCTTGATCCCCGGAGCCACGACAGCTGTTCCACCACGTGGCATGCACCCACGTCCTGTGTCATTTTACGCCGCTGCCACTTGTCAATTGCCCTCGCGTGCCACTTGTCCCAACTTTTTCCTCGCTACGAGATTTTAACATTATGCTAAAATCGTAATTTTTTAAACTCAAACATAACGTAAAAATTCCGATCATAAGACATGTTGTATTCATTAAAATAAAATAATGTTTTCATTCATGTACGGCAATGAATAGTATCAGTCCTTCGGTTTATGAAATAGTAGATTGGGTGAGCTTCCCAAAATACCTAATAAATAAAATCGAACCGGAGATTTAAACCGACGAATTCATACATCTTTATAGTGAATAAAATTACATGATTGGATAGTAGAATGATAGAATAATATGATGGGTGGGTGCGACATATATTTAACATATAATATATATACGCCACCTAACCTAAGGATGGATTCCAACTCTAAATATATGGGGATAAAAACAAAATCTTTCGCGTGGTAATATTAAAAAAAGAAATACTTAAAGCCCAAGTAAAAAATATTACACAATAAAAAAAATATATATATACGATTAGGTTTGTGATTGCGACAATTCTCCGGACGTATCTTTATGTTGCGGCGAATGCGCATTTTAGACTACGAAGGATTTTTTTCCTTATCTCTTAGTTGATGATTTTTTTTATAACCGGAATATGTTACACAAAGATCGAAACTAATTTCGATATGTACATTTATATATACATACATCTTTTTCATATATAACAGAGTAGGGTACAAGCAACCGAATAGAACGGACAAAAATCAGGTGAACCCTTTTTTGCGCGTAAAAACGCAAGGGATGATATATATATATATATATATATACATATATATATGTGTGTGTAATAAACTAATAAAAAAAAGTAAGAACAAAGATTATCCGAAACGTAACGGAGGAATTAAACTTCGATTTATTTTCCCGTTCACGTATTTAATTCATCGAATGACCTAGTAAAAAAATAATAAAAGAAAATACATTTTTTTTTATATTTTATGTGGGTAATTACGTAAATGATTCGTAACAGAACGGACAAGAAAAGGAGCGGGATTGGGATGTACTAACAGATCTGTGTCTGTATTCGCGTTATATTCTTCTTCCCCGTTCCTCCAAGCCATACATAACTTACATGTGTCTTCACGTCTCTGTATGTGTATATATTCATCCGATATCTCAATGCATATTCTCGTAATTGTATATGTATATGTATATTGATAACATGTAAGTTTCTGGGAAATTAACCTGAAAAGAGTTTCTCAAAAAGGTAACTCTCTTTGATTCGAATCTCTCCTCTTTCTTTGACAAAACCCTAGTTTCCGTTTATAGCTTATGTTGTATTTATTTCAGTAAAATATCAATTTTTTGTACTATAATCTTTGTTTTTATTTGCATTTTTTCGACTTTGATTGAAGTTGAAGAGCCATAAATTGGCGATTTTTTTAATTCCTTCAACTAGGGTTTTTCCAATTACCATTGTTTATATTTTTTGTCATAATTAATTTACGAGTGTGTGTATATATATATATATATATATATATTTACGAAATGAATATAAACACACCGTGACATAGTTAATCACGTGAATTCTTTGAAAAATACTTTAAATTTGTATTTATTTGGAAGTTTTTTTTAAAAGTCTAGGTATTTATATAGGATTTTTAAAAGTTCAGGTATTTATATAGAATTTTTATAGTTTAGATATTTATGTGGGATTTTTGTAAAAAGTTTAGGTATTTATATGTTATTTTATATATATATATATATTTCGAAATTTGTATATTTTGACTTTTGTTAGAGTTCTTTTTCTTATGGTCCAATAAAATCGGACATTTGTGTTAGAAGAATTACGGAGCAAGACAGACACCAAACAGATCCTATAATTGCTAATCCGATCTCATTATGATCATTATCCAAATATTCCAATTTTCTGTAACTTAGCTTGTAACCAATCACCAGGAGCGGCTTGAGTTTGAGTATGATTAGGAACTACTCTTTCTTCTAAACCTCGCTTTTACAAAATTTTATTTAAACCATACCCCATTTTCCTTTTCATTTTACCCTTTTTTAAAATTTATTTAAATAAAAATTTGGCAGATATCTTTATTCCAAACACAAGGGTCCATCTCCGTATGAAATGCTCTTTGTTCCATTCGCAGTTTAACATAAGACCATTTGTGGACCCCATATCTTTGGATTTGATATTTGTATTTACATTATCTTTGACGAATTGGTAGTTTATAACTCTAATTATTTACTTAGTCTGATTTTTTTTAATAATCCAAAGTTGGCGTTTTCGTTGATTGCACTCGCAAACAAGTGGGCCCTCCCTTTAATGCTTGTCTTCTTCTAAAAAAAGCCCACTGTCGTTGGATTTATTAATTTTTGTCCAATTTTCATTTTATTACTAATTACTCAGTTTAAGTAATGGATTTAATCATTAACGATTAATATCTGAACGGCGGAGTTTGTCTCATCTCCCAAAAAGAGGGGTTGACGAGTGAAGGGGAGGAGGATGACGTCACGCTTCTCCGTCGCATCAAGAGGTAGTTCCCGGAGCTCTGCAATCTCTGGAGGCGGAGCTGAAGATGAGAATTCCGCTTGCAATGGCGGTCCAAAGGCCAGGAGGAGATCCGTGCTGCTTCAGAGACCCAGTTCAGGAGATGTCAAAACTCGCTCTGGTACCCGTCCCGCCATGGCGGAGCAGTTCGGCCGGCCGTGGCGTCCTGTTCAGAGGAAAAACCTGGCCGATTTGGAGGAGAAGCTGGTGGCCAAAGAGTCGCTGATTAAGGATTTGGAGGCTCAGGTGGTGAGCTTGAAGGCGGAGCTGCAGGAAGCTCGGAGCTCTAATGCAGAGATGGAGACGAAGAATCAGAAGCTCTCTCTGGATCTTGCTTCTGCTGAATCGAAGATCTTATCTCTCTCCTCTCACCACAACCACAAGGTCAGATGATCGCTCGCTCGTTTTTCCTTTCCACCTAAGCAATTCGAAGCCTTAGTCAGTTTTTTTTTTTTTTTTGTGGTTGATTCAGTCAGCGGTAGAACACAGAAACCCTAGATTTAAGGATATACAGAGGCTGATTGCCAGCAAACTGGAGGAATCCGTTCTTCACTCGAATCCCATTAGAGCAAGATCATCTTCTCCGTCACCTTCGCCGCCGCCATTCCCAAAGTCTTTGGTTCCCCAAACTCGCAATTCAGATGAAAAGGATGTAATTTCTTCATCCATGGCGGCATCACCCCCTCCACCACCGCCTCCGCCCCCTCCCAGACCGCCTGCCAAAGCAGCTCGTGCTCAAAAGTCACCTCCCGTCGCACAGTTGTTTCACTTGTTGAATAAGCAAGATGCGTCTAGAGAGCTTTCATCTTCTGCAAGCCCTAGCAGCGTACATAGCAGCATAGTTGGAGAAATTCAAAACCGTTCTGCACACCTCCTCGCTGTAAGCAATTGGATTTCCTTTCCGTGTTTCTGCTCATCGGGTCTTGGTCAACCTCTCTCAGAATCTCCGTACGAAATATTTCCAGATCAAATCCGACATTGAAACGAAGGGGGATTTCATCAACCATCTTATCCGGAAAGTCCTGGCTGCCAGCTTTTCGGACATGGAACATGTCCTGAAATTTGTGGATTGGCTTGATGAAGAACTGTCATCTCTGGTACCTCCTCCTGCTTCCTCGTTTAAAACATATTTTCTTTTTTATGCTCTTTGAACTGATTTAGTGATCTAGATGCTGAAACAAAAGGATGGCTAACAGATGGTTCCCATCTGCTGCATCTATATGTTTCATGTTTTGCGAAATTCACTTCATTACATAGCATTTGGGTACACAATTTCTCTGAAACGTAATGCCGTACAGGCCGATGAGAGAGCTGTGTTAAAGCATTTCAAGTGGCCTGAGAAGAAAGCCGATGCCCTGCGTGAGGCTGCCGTCGAGTATCGTGACCTTAGGAAGCTGGAAAATGAGCTTTCTTCGTACTCCGATGATCCGAGCATTCCGTATGGTACTGCCCTGAAGAAAATGGTCAGCTTGCTAGATAAGTAAGGGGCTCGGTAATTTAACAAACTTGTTCAAATTCCCGGAATCTTGATTGAATTAACATGGCCGCCGATGATATGATAAGGTCGGAGCAGAGCACACAGAGACTAGTCAGATTACGAAGTTCGGCCATCCGTTCTTATCAGGAATTCAGGATCCCTTCCGAGTGGATGCTTGATTCTGGGATCGTAAGTAAGGTGAAAGCCTGTGACTTTGTGGTTGTCCATGAACTTGTATCCAACGAACCATTTGCCCTTTTCTTCTTTCTTTGTTTCGGTTATGATAAATCTCATAAATCAACATTGTTTCAGATCAAAAGGGCGTCGATCAAACTGGCGAAAACGTACATGAAGAGAGTGGCGATGGAGATGGATTCAGGCCGTGAGTCTGCTCAAGAAGCGTTGGTCCTTCAAGGAGTGCGGTTTGCGTACAGAACTTACCAGGTACAGTTCAAAACACGTTTGGTTTTGTTCTGTCGGGTTATGACAGATTTTGTGGTAACTTCAATATATTATCAATAATGGTTATGCAGTTTGCGGGAGGATTGGATTCGGAGGCATTGTGCGCTTTGGAAGAGATAAAGAAGAGGGTCCCTATTCATTCTCCGGCCGCCTCAGCAGGGGACGTTGGCCGGAGTTCCGTTGTAGCAAAATGATCCACTTGTATCGATTTCTTTTTTTGAAAAATATAATATAAATACACGAATTTGTTACCTATTTTTAGATCGATAAACAAGTTTTAAAATCTGTAAAACAATTATAAAAAATTTCATAACTTATAGTTTTTTCGAGATTATTTATAAAATTTATATCATGCCTTATAATTTTCTCGAGATTATTTATAAAATTTATGGTTTTTTAAGAAAAAAATTATAAATTTATTATTCTAATCGAGAGTTTGAAAAAATTGATACGTATTTTTAGAATTTGAAAAAACATTCTATATTGAAAATTTGTATAAGATTTTTTTTTCATTGAATAATTAGGGCGTGTGATATAGGGTTTTATCTCATTTTAAAGCACTACAAAGTCATCCCTTCAATGTTTTTCTTTGCATGGTTTCGGTCTATTAAATATGTAATGTATAATTTGCGGAGATTATATTTTTAATGTACTCTAGAGAGATTTTTTTTTTTAAAAAGCCAAAGAAAAAAAACAATTTCCACAGTTCTCGGAAGTTAATAATACGTGACGTGGCAAAGATTACCAAGTTTCTCCACGTGGTATTCCACGTGGCTTCATGCTTTCTCGATCTCATCCGTTAATCTTAACCCACCGCTTCATCGACGGCTGATATTCATTATTTGGCGCGTGTCCAGAGCGCGGGAAAGTGTGGCGATCGCATGCGTCCAGGTGGAGAGCAAGAGTGTACCTCACGCCATATTTATCCAATCACAGCACGCCACGTCATTGAACGTGGTTTCTTTTAAGCTTCAAATTCCAATTCCTCTCGGGGGACGGCTTAGGATTTGTGATCTCTTCAGGTCTACAAATTCCTCGGCATCGAGATTTTGGATCTAAGCAGGCAAGAGATTAATCAGCGCGCGAGAGAGGGATGGAGGTCTCCGGTTCTGTTCTCCGGCGAGTTCCTTGCCTTTCAGGTGGCTGTACTTCTCGCCGCGTGTCGGTCTCCAGTTTTTCCGGCAATTCGCCGACGGTAGGGTTCCAACCCAAGAAGTCCCGCGGGGTTACGTGCAATGGGTTCGTCGATAAAGGGCACTTGAATTACTATGTCGAGCCGACAAGGTGCGGCGTCAAGAAGGAGAAGGTTGCGGTTATGGACGTGGAGAAGGAGAAGAAGACGACTAAGAAGAGGATGAAACTTCTGAAAGGGTTGTCGAAAAACCTGACTATGTTCTCAACCATGGGATTTGGTCTGGATCCAGATTCCGGTTTGGTCGGTGATGTTCAGAACAAGACGATCTCGGTATGTATGGATTTGAACACCCCTTTTTTCTCATCCGATGCACGCTATTGAAACTCGCGTTCAGTTTTTCTTTCCTTTTTTTGAATGTTTAACCTTGCGTGATGAGGAATCTTATAGTAGAAATGTTCATCTCTGCATAGATGTCGATGAAAATCCAACAGAACTTTTTAGGGTTTTCAATTGGTATAGTACGATGAATGGTCTGGATACTGGCTGAGACCGGATTCGATTGCTTACGAGCGCGTGTATAATGTTATTTGTCTCGTTGAAGTGATGTGCTAAAACTGGGTCGTCTCGATTGTTGATTGCGCAGGAAGCAGCAGAGGTACTGCTTAAGCAGATCGAACAGCTGAAAGCAGAGGAGAAAAGAGAGAAGAAGAGAAGGAAAGAGGAGAAAGCGAAAGCTAAAGCGATGAAGATGATGAATGCTGTTATGGAGTCGGAGTCATCATCCTCTTCCTCTTCAGAATCAAGCGACAGCGACTGCGATGGAGAAGTTGTTGACATGAGCTGCTTCAGAAACAAGACCAAACCTTTTGTCGAATCATTACAGCGGCCTGCTCTGCAACAAACGGCAGCCGCAGTGGCAGTCCTTCCCATAACAGAGAATGACATAGACAGTTTGGTTCCTAATAACATTGAGGGATGTTGCACTCAAATAACAGGCATTATTTCAGCCCCCGTCTTTCCCAGCATGGACATTCCCCGGGAAACCGAAGACGGCTCGGTTTCTTCTGAGACCATGGAAGACGGGCTGGGTTCTTGCAGGACGGTGGAGATTGAACCGTGCTTGAGGAGGAGAGTAGAGGTGTGTATGGGGGGGAAGTGTAAGAAATCAGGAGGAGCTGCATTGCTTGGGGAGTTCGAGAGGGTGGTGATGGGGGTGGAAGGCTCTGTCTCTGTCTCTGTCTCGGCCTGCAAATGCATGGGGAAGTGCCGGGATGGTCCGAACGTGAGGGTCGTGAACCAGTCGGATGGTCTGAACGACGATTCTACGAGGACACCGTCCAATGCAGTTTGCTTAGGGGTCGGAATTCAGGACGTTGAAGCTATTGTGTCGAGTTTCTTTGGCAATGGAGAAGGCTTGGGTTCTGTCCAGTAATGGCGAATTGTTTTTTTTTTTTTTTAAATTGGCGTTTGGGACTTGCTATGTATATGGAAAAGTAAGGTCTTATCTCTCCTTGCGCTTGTTGCATCGTGTTCATGAGCTTAGCCCATCTGAACCAGAGTTTCTGTCGAACAATTGGCTACAGCCTTCATCGAATAAAATAAATTTCGATAGATAAGTAAAATGATGATTATAAATCTTTTTGTAATCAAATTGAACCGAATCTATAGAATAATCAAATAATCAAATCAAGTCAAGTATAACAATATAATTTTTCTAAATTTGGAAAACCAAATTTGAAATGAACAGGAAAATATTAAACTTCTTTTTTTGAAATAAAATAAAATCCATTGAACTAAACTAAAGTTAATATAAAAAACCAAATGATCATAATTTAAGAAGATTCACATATTAAATGTTGAACTTTAACTAAATTTTCAAATTAAATATTCAACTATAGGGTTTAAATTGCGACGAAAAAAAAGTACAAGATTTTTTTTTGGATTATCCCTTAGATATATGTTAAAATTTGAAAAGTTTGGTTTTTATTTAAATATAGTTGAGTATTTAATTTGGAAATGAGATAGTTGAGTATTTAATTTGGAAATTTGGTTAAAATTCAATATTTAATATGTGAATCTTCTATAATTTAATATAAAATATAAAATTAAAATAACGGCGGATCTTAATACAACCAGGCTAAATTAGAACCGAAATGGTTATATCCCAACAGGGCCTATATTTCCCAAGAGGTTATTTTACAAGTTCTGTGCTTACACTGGCCGCGGAACCAAAAAAAATACCACCGGTACATGCATACACAGCAATTGGAAGTTCCATTCCCGATTAGATATATTAACCTTTTTTTTAAAAACCCTTTTTAGTTATATTCTATCTACTCTCCATTCCATTCCCACGCTTCAATTCCGACATAACCTAATGAGCTTCAGTTTCTGGGAAATTTGTGTCTCGAGGCCTCCTCGTCCGTGTTGTTGTTGCAGCGCTTCAAGAATGTGTCGAGTGTTTTCTGCTTTGACGGGGATGGGCTGTTTGTTGGCGGCTTTGCCTGACTTCTGGTCCCATGTCCGGACGAAACCTCCAGAGCTTTTTCATGCCCATCCAGCATCTGCATTTTTCATGTCCCACCCATCAGTTTCTCCAACATTTTACCGAAAACTTTGTTCGCCAATTATTAACCAAAAAAAAAAGTCATAATGCATTCTCTTAGAAGATTGTATCTCACGGTTCTCCTCAAGCATCTACACTCTCGATGACCCACTTACTTGAGTTCACTCTCCATCATTAAGACAAGTTTTAGCAATAACCAGCTAATATAATACAACGCCCTCCTACTGATTATCACACTGCATATGTATGTATATGACACTGGAATATTTAATCTCAAATGGTGCCTTGGGTATGGAGATGGAGCATACCTGCCCTAGATTTTCCAACTTGCTCTGAACAACATCCCTGTGCAGAAAGAACAAGTTAAATGTCCATTCAGCTGTTACAAACATGTGAGATGAGATAATAAATTCACAAAAGCAAAAGGGCACGAGAAAGAACCAGATAATGTCATCTACAGTGTCATTTGCCAGCAGGTAGTGTATGTTAACAGAAGAGTTCTACAGATATGAATCAGCCGTTACAATGTGACATCAAAGGATGGCAAAGCAAAACTATAAATGAACATCCACAGGCCATGATCATGTGCCTCATGGCTCACCTGACCAATCCTGTGAGCTCGATCTTCTGCCTGTATCAGGTCACCTGGCGTCCATGACAGTTCTGCAAAGATAACTGTGCTGGCTGCTGTCAAAGTTAATCCAACACCTGCAGCCCTTATGGACAGCTGCAAATCCATGTCAATGAAATAGGATTAGATCTTGTACACAGTTGAAGAAAGTATGAAAAAATAGCAAGAAGATCAGTTCTTCAATGCTATAAATACGTGAGACGATAATTTCATGCAGAGTTTTGCAAACAACTTGACGAGATAGTATAATGCAGAATTTTTGCAATTGAATTGTGGATACACATACCACCGCTGCCTTTATCTCATCCTTCTCCTGAAAATCAGAAACCAGAGTCTGCCTAGAGGATGCAGGAGTGTTGCCATCAATCCGAATGCAACATACTTTCTTTTTCTGCAAAGTTTTGCAATCCCATGAGAAACAACGGGCTTTTAAAAGCTTTTGAGAAAGTCGGTGGCCTTACATTAAGAAACTGGTGTAATGCATCAAGCATGGACCGATGATGTGCAAATACTAGAAACTTGCAGCCAGCCTGCATCACGACATCGAAGGAGGAAACACAAGAATATGTATCATAGATGCATAGGAACTTTCACAACAACACTTTCACTAGTTATTACCTCAAGCACAGTTCCTAGATAATCCAGGACAGCTGGGATTTTGGCATCAGCAGAATCAGTGTAGATCTAAAATGCAAAACAAGGTGATATCATGAGAATGAGGAAATAACATGAGAATGAGGAAATAACAAGGCGAGCTGAACTAAAGTCATAGAAAAATTTCTCACAAATGCTTTGGTTGTTCTGAGGAATTCATTGGCCGAGAAGAAAAAGCAATTTACAAAAGCGAATGAATACCTTGTTAATAAGGTTCTTCTGAGAAAATTTCAGAGATTGAACCTCATCTTCTGATGTGCAGTCCTTAATCTTTGCTTTTATCACCTCCAACTGTTAAACATAAACCAACATCATCCATTTTCCAAAAGGTAAGCTTTCTTCGAGGAAGGTAGATTTCATGCTTCTAAAAAGATACATAAAAGACACCTCACGAAATAAGGCGTTAATTTGCTTCATCTCCTTCTCAGCCAAATCCAGGAATACCTTTTTACAAACAAAGATAAAAATAATGTCATAAGCCATGGACAAAAAATACTAACACATGTCATGTCAAATGGACATGTATAATACAGAAATAGAAGAGAGTACAGCTAACAACCTGTTGCCTGCGCTTTGTTGGGAGTTCAGACAAGACATCCTTTTTAAGTCTGCGAATCATGACAGTTGCCTTCATCAAATTGTGCAATTCTTCATGATTGCTTGCACCCTGATAGACTCCGAAAAATCCCTGAAGATTTGAATATGGAAACACATGACATTCATGAGGCGTAATCAACTACCCTATTCGAGATTCTGCTCATTGTACTATGGACTTACGCCTTTACAGTATCTGTTACCATACTCGTGAACATTTCTATACACATCTGGATATAAAGCTTCCAGCTGTCAAAAATGGAGGAAGGATTAGGAGTAAACTTAAGTAACTTCCAGAGCCCCTCCAGAAATTGAAGGAGAGAGAGTGTTAGTTAGTTGGAAGACCTGTTTGAACAGTTCTATTGGTCTAGATAAAGCAGGAGTCCCACTCAGGAGAATTGCATATTGAGCTTTCTGAAAAATAAAAAATGGGAGAAGATCTGTAATGTTTTAGACACCATGTGACCACATGATATGAACTTGTTAAGCATCTGATAAAACCATTCGGGTAGCAACAAAAGTGATACTGATTTTTGGTTGCTCTCAGCAAATAACCTGAAAGAGCAAGAGTTGCGAAAACCAAGAAAGAGACGTAAAAGTAACCTTTATGACCGGAAGGGAAGCATTGGTCCTCTTTGCTTGAGCATTTTTAAGAAAATGTGACTCGTCTGCTATAACAACCTGCAAAAAGGTTGCAGTTTCCAGATATGAAACACCACAAAAGCAAAATACTTGAAGACAACACTAGAAAAGCCTGATATGCAAATCGAAGAACACTGAAAACGTAAACCAGTCGTCAAAGTTAAGTACTCTACATGCTAACTTGGCATCTGCAATCTTGTGTAAATTAATAGAACCGGATATAAATCGTCCAAAGAATCATAAGAAAAAAAAAATGTCTTTTTTACTTTACCTTAAAGTCGGACGACATAAGGATTCTCTCAAGTTTAGGGACCACATCATAGGAGATAATGTTAAAGACACCATCAAGATGAATACTGCTCTTCGTAGTTGATGAAACTATAGTAAATCCACTTTTGTTTGAACCAGACACTTGAGGTAAAACTACCTACTAAAGGGTGATTGAGATGAGAAAGTAAAAGATAAAGGAGCGGAAAGATCCAAGAAACAACTAAGCGCAAGACAAGTGCTAAAATACATACAACTATGTCTGATGGGGGTATATGCAGCCACTGCTGAATCATCTGAAAAAAAAAGTTTTAAGCTTACTCAGAGACATTGGTAACCTTCTATGAATCTATAATGATTCAGAAAAAAGATCCTGTGATTACTGTTGCCCAATGCAAACGCAATGAAGATGGTGCAAGAACAAGCACAGGCCAAGATTCATTAATGCAAGTGATCGCAGCAATTGCCTGCATAAACACAACCATGTAAACTAGATGAAAGAAAAATCACAGTCAGTGAGAAGGATTCATTAGAAGGTTCTCCAAAACTAGCTCGTAGCTAGTTTTGCTAGGAGCCACTCTTTAGGTGAAACTGATGATAAATCCGAGACATTGCTTCTCAGAAAAGAGAGGAAAACTGGGATTTTATAAATCAAGAAATTATAAGATCGACATATCATTCTGAAAGATGGGAAGTCAAAATATTATAACATGAAAGAACGGATGCAAGTGGAAAAAAGTGTTCACTGGATGAATGGAAATGATATAAAAAGGGTAATAAAAATGAAATTCATGAAAAATTTTCTTCCTGCAGTTCATAGGACACTACCAAGACATCAACACACTACAACTAGAATTAGCAAAAAGATAGAAAAGTTTCTTAAGCAACAAAATGAGGCATCAGAGAGAGGAAACAACTTTCCTGCAAAGTCTTTCCTAGACCCATTTCATCTGCAAGGAGGACACGCCCTCCGTGCTGCAAAATGAAACTTAGGAGAAAAAAACAAACCCAGACAGAAGAGTCAGAGGAAACAGGGATCATCCAGCCAACAGATAGAAACCACTTGCCTAGAGAAATAGAATCGCTATTATATGTTATGGAATTGAAGTGCCTAGGGAAAGAACAAGATAAGTTCAGGACACAACGTACTTTACTCCTTCCCGTTGAAAAGGCAGAAGCTTTGATTCAATATGGCCTGGTATCTTGTCATAAAGCTCTAGAGCGAATAACAAAAGAGGAAGTAAGAGACACACCATAAAAAGGATTTAAAATATGAAAATAAGTAAATCAGATGTCTAACTTCGTAGATCTGGAACTCTTGAAGCAGAAGCTATGGCCCGTTGTACCAAAGGATCTAAGTTCTCTACCTGATAACGTATGACCAGCAATTAAGAAGAAAGAAACAAGACAATGCATGTAAGAAACGCTTTTTCAGTTGAACCAGTAAAACGAACCTCAACTCTTATAGTGGACACTTCCCGCAGAATGTTTTCAGCTGATAGCAGTGAAGACTGGGGAAAGATCCATAATCTTCAATTCAAGAAAAATACACAAATTTTCAGGCAAAGGGTATACACATAACAAGTAAGCACGAGAGAGAGAGAGAGATCACAAAACAATTAGACATGGCAAATAAAATGAAAACCTCTCTTTAGCATTCCAAGTAGCCTTGGGGATTTTACGTACAGCATCAACCAACACCTGGATGAGGATAAAACGCGTAAGTTTCACATTCAGCTAAAATCGGCAACCATTTTTCTCAAAGAAAAAGTGGAAACGTACAGGGTTAAAAGCGAATTTGGCAGCGATATTTCCAGTGGCATGAAGAATAAACTTGACAGAAACCTTTTGCCCATTTTCAATGGAGCAATTATCTTGTTGTACGCATACTATATCATCACGTTATACAGTATCATGAAGAAGGGGTGAGCACCCAAAAAAAGGGAAGCGAGAAGAAAGGGACTGGCAAAAACAACTGACCAGTGTTCGGTTTAGGCGCGAGGGTAGGAGGTATGGAACTGGTACCCTGAGACAAAGAGCAAAATCCAAGTAGAAATTCTTAAACTCGCACAAAATAATGCATTGCGAATAAACCCTAATCTCGAAAAGGGTTAACCCAGGCCTCGTTGGGAGTGTGAAGTAGCTGTGGGTTGCGATTGTTGGAGAAAGAGGAATTCCGCTGCTGATTGATCCTCTCAAGAGCTTCTCTTTCAAGAGAATCCATCTCTTCCACGCTCAAATCCCAATCGTCATCCATTTCTTCTTCCTCCTCCGCTATATCACCGTGCTTCAATGGCGGGATTCCCTCCTTCCCAAAAATTTCCCTTGTTCCTACTTTCTACCCCGTCTTCTGCCTTTGCAAAACCAAGGTTAGAAATCTTTTAATTAGTCCTACTTAAATATATCATATTATAATTCGATATCATATATTATAAAATAATATATATATATATATATGTAATAAATCTATTTTAAATATTTTAATTTTTTATAATAAATTCATAATACAACTATCTATAGAAAAATATATTTATAGCATGTATTTATTAACTTATTATTTCAAAAAATTGTAATATTATATTAATGACAGAAAAAATAGTATATAAATACCTAAATTTTAAAAAAAATCTCAAATAAACATCTGTATTGTATTATAAGGTTTCTATATAAATATTTAAATTTTCTAAAATCTTATATAAATATCGAGATTTTTTAAAAAATTTCAAATAAATCCAAAATCTACTAATGTTGATTATTTTTTTTTGAAAAAATATCTTAACATTGAGTTTATTTGAAAAATTATTTGGTAATATTGTTGTTGTTGTTGTTATTGTTGTTGAACCAGACAGTAAGGATAAATGCATATTCAGGAATAGGGACTAAGCAATGGATGGTGGAAGTCCGCCAAGGTTGTATCCACATTTCATGGTGTGCGTGAGAAAAGGAATTGCGCCATGACAGTTGAGTGGCTCAGTCCATGCAAATTGTTCCACGATAAGTAGAAACCCCGGCCTGACATAGTCTACTTCAAATGCCAATTTCATTCTCTGAAAACATGGGCACTCAACATAACATGAGATCGAAATATTCGTTTCCATAGCTAGATCAAGAAATGCTCTAGGGGTGAAAATTTTAGGACAAAAACTTGTCAACTAGGGTGCACTTTTATTGACCACAGAATTGTACATGGATAAACATTTTAGATTGGCTTCCAAATAGAACGTAACTTGTAGGAACACTAGAAGAATGATGACCGAAACCTAAGCAAGTGCCATATGATGCATTTTTTTAAATCTAAAAATAAAACCCCACCATCTAATCGAATGGGCAGCTATATGGTATAAAGTTATAACACCCACCCGTGAAATTGTCAAAAAAAATAACCCAAAAAAAAACGATGTATTCAAATACCGAACTGGACATCACTTGCCCCCCTATTCCATTTAACCGAATCCGGGACAATGGAAACAAACATTTTAACTTTCACATTAATACAAACAATCTGTGGATTTTGTTTCTTAACTTACCAACCTCGAAATATTCTCCGCTACTCTATTTTTAATTTAATGTTTTGATTCGAATTAAAAAAACAAACATATTTTTCACCTGGGGAAAGCGTCTTACCATTGCTTCAGCTCTTCTCTTTTCTTCCCCCCCTTCCCAAACCGAAACCAATAGAACAAAACGTCTCTATCTTTCTGGAACTAGGCGTTGTGAGTTCCGAGGAGCTGAGTTCGACCAATATGAGACAACCGAGACGTTAACAAGCGGGCTTCCTCGTCGTTTGGTTCAGCCGGTGATGAAAAGCTTCCGCCTCCTCGGGGGCTTTCTCCACTGTCATTTGGCTTGAATATATCCGACGACTTCTTCTCCAGCTTCCAATCCTGTTAAAGACCACACAAGGGAACACATCAATTGGGCAAATCATGAAGAATGGTTGATGGTGTTAAGAACCCTAAAGTTTCGGCCCTCTTGAAAACTGGTAATCTGGGTGGAGAAGTTTCACCCCTAGAGTTTGATTAAATGAGGACCAATCAATCTAAAACAGAAATGTAACACGGTTCAGTGTGTAATCTTTTAATATATATATTTAAAATTTTCAGGTTGACTGGGTTTTACCATCAACTGGTAAAAGGGCAGAAAAGGCCAGGTCTTGCAAGGGATGTGCCACCCCACAGCATGGTTGGCTTTGTGCCATATATTGTATGAGCTCTTCTCTCATGCACGACAGGAGATAGATAGAGAGAGTAATTTGACTCACCTTAATGATTCGATCTGGAAGAATGTTGTCGGGAGTTGCTTGTGACGCCTTCACATCCTTCACTTTTATGTAGTTGTACATTACAACTCCACACAGAGCTGTTGACAACAAGAGAGTTAAGAGCAACACAATGGGATCATGAACACCTGAAGGCTAGAATAGAAAAACAAATGCTCCCAATAAGACAAGACAAAGACATACCTATGGCGTATCCAATGATGTTCAGCCCAGTGATTGCAGACTCTGGAAATATGACAGTTGAGAGGGCTATGAGAATCCAATCTTTGAGAACACCAGCAACTCTGATAGTTACCGCCCCTGTTCTCCCAATCACTAAGAATATTGAGAAATTCAAGGCAAGTGCACAAAGTGCGTTCGAGAAGAAGATCCAGAAGTTGAACTGGATCTGTGGAACTTCCATTGCTGGCTTCTCCAGTACGTACCAAGGCACAAACAGGAAAACAAAACTGCACAAACAAAAAGCACCCATATCTTAAGGAAATGGAGTGCATGAAGTGTCACTGTCTGTGACTAGCGGATTCAGAGCGTCTTGCTTCTATTAATATCCAATATTTAGCACGACAGAAAATCAATCAACAACAACAGAACAGACTGCAGTGGTCCATTAAAAATGTTACCTGCAGGGAGCTATATAATATAGGCTGGTGACAGGATTCAAAGTCAAGCCCTTCTTCTGTAGAAGAACTTGAGTTAGCACCAGTCTCAGAGCTTCAGCAAAGATGCCGGTGACCTGGTACACTGTGCCAACTATATTGAAATGAATTTCCCCATATGAGGATACGACAACTCCGACACTGACTAGCACCATGTTCAAGAACACATCACACCTTGCTTTGTCAGTGCCACACACAATGGCCATAAGAAATGTTGCTACCGGCACTGCAAGTTTAAATTCATAACATTACGAAACTTCAACACATGATCAGATAGTGATTCAGTATTACAGATATGTAACTTGAAGATCATGCTTCACATACTTAGAGCTTTCAGCATCTGAATGAAGGCCACAGAAATGTGCAGATATGCAGTATTGCCAAACCTAAACAGCAGAAAAGAAAATTATCAAGAGACATTGTGAGCAGTCGGTATGATTAGCAACGAGCGAGTTCAAGTGGTGGCCAAGAACTCACCAGAGGCTTGATGCGAAGAACGCGCTAATAGGTACCACACAGGTTACATATCTGGCCCCACAAATAATGTGTTAAAACGAGTGAAGGAAACTATATATGAGCAAAGGCAAATGGAGAAAAGAACGGAGACTAAGCTGACTTACATTTCGAATGTCATTTTAACAGGAGATACAACCTACATCACAAAGTAAAAAACTTATCACCTGGCTAGCAAAGGGTGCAATAAAGTAACAGATCAGGTCAAGATAATATAGTTTTCCATAGTGAGGAAATCATGAAATATGAAGAAAAAAATGCCACATGCTGAGAGAACTCGACAGTGAGATGCTATGAAGCCATAAATCCTGCAGATATACATATCCACCCTATGCATAAGCATGCACATGCATAGATGAAAACACATTCATCGTACTATGAGAAAAGTACCTTGAATACACGAATAAGAAGGAAGGCCACAAATCCAGAAAACCCCATATGGATCATTGTCAGTGTTATAGGAAACGGAAAATTGAAGTATTTTGGAGACAGTACCCACTGCAATGAAAAGAGAAAGACATGAGATAAAAGTCAGCTTCTAGCACAATATGAGCAAAAGACAAGAAATGGTCCCCTGTTTGGTGGAAAACAAAAACGAGGGAACATGAATGAATACTGTTTGACACCCATAGCTTACTGAATGGTCTGTGCCTATAGGTGCATTTCATTTCATATACAGAATAAATAAGTTCAGACCTGAACCTTGTGGCATTGCAAACATGCAAAATCAATACACAGATCTGCTTAAAGAATGGATACAATAACTCGTGTATTAAGCCATTGTCATCACCTTGTTGTACAGGATAACTCCTGATGAGAGTAAAATGTAGATCAGTAAGTATAAATAAGTCAGTACGAGGGTCTTGTTTATCATCTCTGCTCCTTTTCTTCTCTTCTCTCGATTAAAAAGCAGAAAATCTTTGTTGACTCGGTTCTTTGACAATCAGTTGCCCGTCACGGCAACAACACAATAGCAGGACAGTGTCGCACCTTGAAACATAGTAGATCCGGAGATTCCATGCCTGTTATCTGAACTCGAGAATAAAATGCGTCCCTAGTTAGAGTCATTGCTGATTCAACTGAGCGGATAAGATTATCGCTCACTTAGTAAGAACGATAAGCAATACAGTTGAAACCTAATTCCATCGACGAACTCAACATTGAGGGACAAAATTTCCGTGAAAGACGGAGTGCATGTAAAACTACGCAAAAGGATTCCAAAAATGGGAAATGCCAAAATTATATTACACAATCAAAGCCAAAAACGTTGAATTCCGGGAACGAAAACCTAAATCCAGCAACAGAGAGACGAGTTGAGGAGAAATCGAAAGATCAGGAAACAGCGGATTGGATCGATACGCGAAGCAGTAAGAGTAGGAATCAAGTGATAGGGAGAGAGAAAGAATGAATAGCACCTCGAGATCAGAAGCCGGAAACGGCGAATCTTGCCATGGAACAAGCGTGCGAATCCAGGTTAAAGTAGCGATGGATCCGAAGATCAAGACGGGGGAAAATTCCGCGAAACTCCGACGGGTAGCAATGTAACAGGGGAAAAAGACGAAGAATGCGTCACAGAATCCACGGCGAAACGAGGGAGAAGAACGAGATTTGGGAGCTGAAGAGCAACACTGCATATAAGAACAAGGGGGATTACAAATTTACAACTTGAAAAAAAACCGATATTAGTTTTTTTTTTACACCGGAAGAAAAAGAAAATGGAGGAAAATGAACAGAGGAAATGACGGTGGAGATGAATCCTCCGATGCGTGGATCATGGATCCAACGGCTAAAAAAACCCTTAGAAGGTGGTCGGGAAGCCTCTTTCTCAGTTAGAGGTACCCGAGGTATCGTGAAATATATTTGGGTCTTTATGGGACCAACTTAGATTTCATGGGCTTAAATATGTTCGGTCCAATGAGCTCTATCCGACGAGTCGCTCAATATACATATAAATCTTCGGCGACAGACTCTAATAATATGACAATAAGAGTCTTCGGCCCATGACTTGATTAATTTTAGATAATTTCGTTAATAACTAAATAATTCAACTTGCAATCGAATAATACATCATCATAAATTAACTTTGATAGAAAAACCGAATAATTATATTTTTTTAATTGAAAAAAATATACCCGCTATAAAAAAAATAACTGAGAAACTGATTTTTTAAAAGTATTTTTATAGATAGACAAATCGAATCCAAACCAATATGGAATCGAACAAAATGGAATTTGATATAAAATATAATATTGATATAACCAAATTGGAATATAAGATTCAGAATGACTTGTTCTTCTGTTTTATATATATATGTTCTTCTAGATTCGTTCATGATTAATGGTTGAGATTACAGATAAGTACAAAGTGTAATGAAAAATGTAAAATGTAAATATATTTATCTCCCATTGTACGATAAATTCAAAAAAACTAAAAAGAGAGAAGTTTCATAAAACATATCGAGATTTCAATTTTGAGTTGAAACCTTTTATTCTATGTACGGTGGCGGTGCATTAAAAGAATGTCTTTTGAACCGTCAAACTTGGGATGGTGGGCCCTGTATGGGCCTATACCAGGTGTAGTTATATGGGCCAATGGGCCCAGCCCATTTGAGGTTTGCGCGTCCACCGACACTGCTCTGCTACAGACTAGCAGGGTTGGAAAAGGAAAGAGCGTAGATTCGCACGCGGCGGGCCAGCTAAGTCAAGCCACTTGCGGTGGATCCAATATGACCCTCCGAGATTTGCCTAAGATGTGAATGAATCTGGACGAAATTACGATCTTGCACCTCCCTCCCTCGGCCTACATATAACTCTCCTCCCTCTCTCCTTCTCCTTCGTCTTCCTCACATTCTCTTACAGGCAGCCTCTCTCTCTCGGTATGGATTCCCTCGATCTCTGCCCTCTCCTAATTTCCCGTCTTTTTTGTGTTTGTAATCCTTTCATTGGGTTCTCTGTTCTTGTATGGGCTTGTTTCGCAGTTTGAAAATGGATAATTCAGATCGCGTGTTCATACATTTCTGAACATCGATTTATGTCGTTTTTCTTTTCTGGGTTTTATAGCAGCTGTCTTTAATTCTAGTATTCAGACTTTCAGGCTTCAACTGAGTGGAACTGGTTCTGTTCGTGTTGGCTGTTGTCAGGTTCCTTGATCATCCGACAGGAATGGAGACCTTCTTGTTCACCTCTGAGTCTGTCAACGAGGGACACCCAGACAAGCTCTGCGATCAGATCTCGGACGCGATCCTCGATGCCTGTCTCGAGCAGGACCCAGAGAGCAAGGTGGCTTGCGAGACCTGCACCAAGACCAATATGGTCATGGTCTTCGGCGAAATCACGACCCAGGCCAATGTTGACTACGAGAAGATCGTCCGCGACACTTGCCGTGCCATCGGCTTCACCTCGGACGATGTCGGTCTTGACGCCGACAACTGCCAGGTCCTAGTCAACATCGAGCAGCAGAGCCCAGACATTGCCCAGGGCGTCCACGGTCATCTAACCAAGAAGCCGGAGGAGATCGGTGCCGGTGACCAGGGTCACATGTTTGGCTACGCCACCGACGAGACCCCTGAGCTCATGCCCCTTAGCCACGTCCTCGCCACCAAGCTCGGTGCCCGGCTCACCGAGGTTCGCAAGAATGGAACCTGCTCTTGGCTAAGGCCAGACGGTAAGACCCAAGTGACCGTTGAGTACTACAACGACAACGGTGCCATGGTCCCGGTCCGTGTCCACACCGTTCTCATCTCGACCCAGCACGACGAGACTGTGACCAACGACGAGATAGCAGCTGACTTGAAGGAGCATGTGATCAAGCCCGTGATCCCTGACAAGTACCTCGACGAGAAGACCATCTTCCACCTAAACCCATCTGGTCGTTTCGTGATCGGAGGTCCACATGGTGACGCAGGGCTCACCGGCAGGAAGATCATCATCGACACCTACGGCGGGTGGGGTGCGCATGGTGGCGGCGCCTTCTCCGGCAAGGACCCGACAAAGGTCGACAGGAGTGGGGCCTACATTGTCAGACAGGCGGCCAAGAGTGTCGTGGCCAGTGGACTTGCCAGGCGTTGCATTGTCCAGGTTTCGTACGCTATCGGTGTTCCCGAACCGTTGTCCGTGTTCGTGGACAGCTACGGGACGGGAAAGATTCCGGACAGGGAGATCCTGAAGATGGTGAAAGAGAGCTTCGATTTCAGGCCGGGGATGATATCGATCAACCTGGATCTGAAGAGGGGAGGGAACGGCAGGTTCTTGAAGACAGCAGCTTATGGCCACTTCGGAAGGGATGATCCTGATTTCACTTGGGAGGTGGTTAAGCCCCTCAAGGCCCAAGCTTAGAGCTTTCCCTTTGTTTTTTCCCCCAAAGCCTCGATCTTTGCCGTGTTTTATCATACTTTCTCCTCGTATTTGCTGTCCTTTGGGGTGTTCTGAAATGGGTTTATTCTTTTTTTTTTCTGGTCATTTTGAAAGTCTTTGTTATGTCATTTGAAGAAACAATAAAGAAGAAAACTGTTTGGAAGTTGATTGAATAATGGGAATTTTCATATGACAGATACAATGTTGTCATGTACAATGATGATGAATTTTTTCTTCAGAGGGGGGCAACAATTCCATGGAGGCAGACATCAGCTTCAAGGAGACAGACGTCTTTAAGCAAGAGGCCACTGCTCGGCTGATTGAAGTAACCCACCGACACATACTTCATCCAACCGTTCTCTTTCCTCTTCTCGCTGAACCAGTTTGTCGCTGAAACACCATCACAGACATTAGAGAGAGAGAGAGAGATATGAGTCATGGCACTTAGTGAACCATTACTGGTGCAGTAACACGGTTGTTGCGGGAAAGGAAAGGGGTTTATTGAGCAAACCTTTGCCGGCGATGTGCCTGCCTTGCAACTGATCGAACATGCGAATGGTGAACTCTGCGAACAGTTTGGTACCGACAGGAAGCGTTTCTGGTTCAGCCAACACCAAATAGACCGAAACGTGGCTGCCCGTTCCTTGTCGAGTTCCCTTAGGATACAACTGTATTTTCCTGCATCATTCCCAATATATACACACACTCGCTTCAGACATATGTTGTTGTCCTTTCACTGATCTAACATATGTTGTTGTCCACCCCTATTGGACATACCATTTCCTATCTCCGGAGAAGAAGGCGTCCGAGAAATAGCAGTTTTTGTCCAACTTGGAGACATTATCGACCCTCCAAACATGCTTGGAGCTAGAAGGGTCTTTGATCATCGACAGACATTCTCCTCTTCCGCTGCTCCTCTCCTTGGAGACAAACACATCGGCCCCTAACACGCAGGTGTCTTCCAAGAGGAAGCCGTTAGATGCATCGTAGAATTCCCCGATCGAGATGAATTTGTCGAATCCCCATTCGCGTTTCAGCGTGTGGAACCGCCTCTCGTTCCCTGAAGCATCCATACTACAAACCTTGAATATTACCCCATTTCCATCACATCATACTCATCAACATCAGACAAACACATGGAAAGTGATTATGGTTCTGACAAGTTAGAATCATGGAGCGTATTTGGGAACGTTCCTTGGTGGTCTGTAACGTAGAAACGATGGAGGATGGAGGAGAAAACCGACATCGGTAACCATATTTGTATACGTACCATATGGAGAGGTAGAGCACTATATAGTGAAATATAGAATGATGGAGGATAAAACTAGGGTGTCAATCGGGTCGACCCGATTTTTTTTGGGGTCTATGTAATTAATTAAGTCCGAAGTCCGATCATATATATTTCGGACTCTGATTGGATCGGACCGAACTGCATAATTTCCTCTGTAAATGTTCATTTTTTCTTTTCTTTTTTTTAAAAAAAACTTTCGGGTAGATCCGAATCGAGTCCGAAACCCGATTTGAATTTGGTCTGAAGGCCCAATTCTTTTTGGACCGGAAAACTTAGACCCGAAGTTCGTTAATCATAGGGTGGGCCTAAATTGACACCCCCTAGATAAGACCATAACTATACTTGTGCGTAGAAATTTTGTACCAAAGTATCAAATTATAAGAAATATAATATACCTTGTAGGATTGTATAGCTGTCTTTGTTTTGATCGAGTAAATACAGGCGGAAGACGGCCCAGACCTCCCACCCGGGACGCAGAGAACCGGTGTCCGCCAGGGCCAAGTGAAGAGAGACATGGTCTTTCACATTCTTGTTCTTGTTTCCATTTGGGTAGAGGGCCAGTTTCCTGCAAGCAAAGTCACACGCACAATAAAGGAATTTGATAAATATCCCGCAAGAAAAACAATGTCAAGATGCATGGCAAAACCGTAACAATGGCGGGCGTCGTACCATTTGTAGCCTCCTGCTTCGAAGCTCTCGGTTTCGTACTTGTCTATGGAATGCTTTGCAAGCAGAGAGAAAGACTCTATCTTCACCGTGTAATGCGTTGGCGGGGCTTCAGACACGGACCTTACTACTTCTGCAACGAGCTTTTTATTTTTATATATATATATAAAAGAGATTGCATATTTTCCAATACCAGGCCAAAACAGAAGAAAAGTTGAGAGGAAAGACGAATATATATATATATATATATATATATATATGATCTAAATTTGTTTTAGACATGTTCAAGCCTTAAATCTGATATTGAGAATTAATAGATCCGAGGATTTGCTTCTACTAGATCGTGTATCCGGATTTTTAGATATCTATCTCAGTTTCGGGAATCGATTCTCACGAATTTCAGACCAAAACCCGATACCCCACCATAATAAATTACAAAATATATTGATTTTTATAAATATTTTTTTATAATTCAGGAGTGCACCGCACCTCCGCTCGAAGTATATTTAATAGAAAAATGATAAAATCCAGGCAAATGATCTTATCCAAATGAAGACTCGAACTTGGATTGAAAAAGAGATTTGTTTAATTCCTTACCACATGAATCATCCAATCTTAGATTGATTTATGTTAACTTTAGAGATATCTAGGTAGTTAAAATATTTTTTTTTGTAAAGGCATAGAAAACCATGGGTGTTTTAATCATATGTATCAAAATAAAAAAGAGAGAAGAGCGATGGAAGGGCGTACCATCCTGATCACTGAAACTGGCCATGGGAAGATACACAATGGAATTATCAATACTCAGCCTTTTGTTGTATTTATAAGGGGAAGTTTGTTATACTTTGCTTGAAAGTGTTTTCCTTTTCCATGCACCGAGGACATATGCCCTGTGAAGGAGCAGAAACAAAGGCCAAGAATCTGTACATTACCTTAGCCTACAGATTTCTACATCTCGGTTTTTATTGATAAAAAACATGTTTTTTTTTTCTTCAAAGAGAATTTCGAATTTTTAGATTATTTTTTATTCGATTCGAATCCGTTCAATTATTGCAGTATTAACCAAATTAGCCACCGAGTTAACCCGGAAAAAAATAGCCACCGAGACCAAAACGGTCTCCCATTTTTTTTTGGACCGACATTGGATCGAAGTTGTCCATTTATTACATCGGGCTTTTCAGGACGGTCGGAGCCCATAAAAAGGTTAATTTTGGAAACGGCGTCGTGTTAGGGGAGGAGCTCAGATCCTCCGACAGACCTAGAAGGATCAAACCGTTTTAAAGTTGAGTCGGGGAAACTAAAGGAAGCCGAAAACTTCTACCAGATCTGGAAGCTCTCTCTCTCCCGCTTTAACGCCTTCTTCTTCTTCTTCTTCTGCTCTGGTTGATCACGAAAGCTTTCTCAGGTACGTGCCATCTCCTGTTCTTCTCGGCGTATCTGTCGAATTCGAATTCATAGGCTCTGCCTCCGGTTTTCTCTTTGTTGTTGCTGTTTGGTTATGTCTTGTCTCAATCCTTCGTGTTTCTACGGACACCTTGTCAGCTGTTTTTTTTTTTATATTTTATTATCTTGGTTCATGCTTTTTCGTTTTCCCGTGTGATTTCAATTGCTACTTACCATTCTTAGGGTTTGTGGATTTGAATTACGAAGCTTGCTGTGTTCTCCGCCCTCCTGAATCGTGTTGGAAGTTTCCTTTCGTATTTTTTCTCCTCCCTTTGATTGTTTTGTCGTAGTTTCCTGGGATTGGTTCCTGGGGTCGGGCATTGTGTCTTATCCAATATGTTTCATATTCTGTTTCTTATTTTTTCAGCTTGATGGCCGGAACCTTGACGAGCAAGTAGATTCTTACTGATTACCGTTGCTTTTCAGTTTTAGGATTAGCTATGGAGTTTGATTGGAACTGTCCTTCCCATGTTTCTAATGTGGGAATACTGTGAAAAGTCGGATTATCTTTGTTTGATCATGTGCTTATTCATTTTGTTGCTAGCCTTGCGATATATCATGGAGATGGAGATACAACCTTTGTTGAACCTTGATTTGGACCCGGGTCCCGTTGATCAGTCTGTACTGGTGTGGCAACATGAGCATAGATCGGCTGCCATTTGGGAGGATGAGGTGAAATTGATTTCTCGAGTATCTTTTCTCTAAAAGTTTTGTTTTATTATTTAGTTTGTACTTTATCCCATCTCCTCGAGTCTTCATGTACTTGCAGGTTCCTCCCCGTGAATTGACATGTCGGCACAAGTTACTGGGTATGCGAGACTGGCCGCTGGACCCTCTTGTGTGTCGTCAACTAATCGAATTCGGACTGTATGGAGTATACAAGGTTGCCTTTATACAACTCGATTATGCATTAATTACAGCCTTGGTAGAGAGGTGGAGGCCTGAAACTCACACTTTTCATCTTCCTGTCGGAGAGATTACCATCACTTTGCAAGACGTGAATATATTATTGGGTCTCCGGGTGGATGGACCTGCGGTAACTGGCAGTACAAAATACAACTGGGCTGATCTATGTGAGGATCTACTAGGTTGCAGACCAGGTCCCAAGGATCTCCGTGGATCTCATGTCTCCCTAGGATGGTTGCGTGATAATTTTACACATCTACCTCCAAATCCAGATGAAGACACATTGAAGCGTCACACTAGGGCGTTTGTGTTAGCTTTGATGAGTGGTTTCCTCTATGGAGATAAGTCCAAACATGATGTGGCTTTGACGTTTCTTCCTCTGCTAAGGGATTTTGATGAAGTGGCTCGACTTAGTTGGGGTAGTGCAACTCTCGCACTTCTCTACAGAGAGTTGTGTCGGGCAAGTAAGAGGACTGTTTCTACCATTTGTGGCCCTCTTGTTTTGCTTCAGTTATGGGCATGGGAGCGACTACATGTTGGCCGACCAGGAAGACTCAGGGATGTAGGTGCTTCATTTATGGATGGGATAGATGGTCCCTTACCAGATCCATTAGGTTGTAGGTAATTGATATTTATCATAGACTGGTCAATTTGTTTTTTAAACTTTCTTCAGATTTATTTTGCTTATGGACTGAACTGCCAAAAATATTGCTAGGTGGAGAGCTTCTTTGAGTCATAAAGAGAATCCTCGTGGAGGACTAGATTTTTACAGGGATCAATTTGACCAGCAGAAAGACGATCAGGTAGATTTCTGGCTTTCTTTAACCTTTTGTTAGTTCTACTGTCAAGCTTCTGTTGATGAGTTTAGAGCAAATCGGAATAGATACCAAACTTTAAACAAATTTTATTGCTAAATTCAAGTGCTTAACTTAGTAATGCAGTTGCTAAGTTAGATATTTCCATCAGTATCCCGTAATGCTAAATTACATGTGATACTTTTATTGGAAATGCATAACATAATGCTTGTAGGTTTCACCTTGGTCTGCTGTCTTGATGAAGATTGTTTGTTAATACTGAAATCATGGTGTTCTGCAAAGTTTGTTTACTTTTTTCCATATTTCCCCCATATATTTTTATCAAAGCTTGCTAATAATGTTGTTGAATTGTTAGACTTAAGATTTCCTTTTATATTTGAGATGTAGGTTATATGGAAGCCTTACACTCCAGATCTACTGGCAAAGCTCCCTCTTTTATGTCTAAGCGGTCAGAACATATGGCGAACAGTTGCACCCTTAATTTGTTTTGATGTTGTTGAGTGGCATCGTCCTGATCGAGTACTTAGACAGTTTGGTCTTTGCCAAACGATTCCAGCACCGTGTGATAATGAAAAGACACTTCATGCTATTGACAAAAGAGGAAAATCAGAGTATGACTGGTCAGCACGCCATGTTCGGCATATTGAATTATGGGAGGCACGTGAGGCATCCGTTGTTTTAGGTGAACCAGAGTATGGTCCAATGGACTATAATGATCCTTATATGGAATGGTACCGTCGAATCACTAGAAGAATCATCAGTCCTATGAAAGAGAGACGTCCTGGACAGTTTCAACCCACTGGCTTTGCTTTCCAAATGCTGGTAAGATATTATTGTCAGCACCATGAATCTCATACATGCTGGCATTAGAATCTCATTGTACCGATGCAAAATGACAGGTTCAGAGGATTGCTGCCATCTATGCTCGATCTAAGGCCTCGCTTGAGGAGGCACTCACCATAGACACTGCTAGGCGAACATTGCAAGAGATCCTCGATTTGAGTGCAGGGGCTCTACAACTTAATGCGCCTTTAGGCTCGTTATTGAATGGTAGGCTTTTCATTAAAGAACTTTTATGAGTAATATTCAGGAAAAAAATTTCTTGTAGGATGCTTTGTCCTTAGTTTGATGCATTGGTCAATTGGATCATAATTACGGGAAGGAAAATAAAGGAAATGGTAATAGTGAACCAATGGTCCTTTCTCCTTGAATGAGATGGTTTCCCCTGTTGAAATACCTATCTCGTAAATTCTGTCACTCCTGTCATTTTTCTCCAATGTATGTGGATATTTGTGTCTAGTGAATATTCAGATTAATCGCATTGGCACATGGGCATGGTCTTTTATGAACCCTTGTTATGTAGTCATTATTTACATTTTCACATTAGAATTTTCTGTTAAACTGTTCTTTAACTCTTAAGAATTCCTTTGTTATAGGTTCTGCTTCTCAAGCTCCAACACCAGAACTGTATCCAATGTTACCTCCACCTATGTCTACAGAATCTACGAGAAAACCGTTTTCAGCAGAAACATCTGATGTAGCTTTCAGTGGCATAGGAAGCACTGATGATGTCTCAGCAGTACCATCATCTTCCCAGAAACCTGTTTTTTGGCCTTCTGGAGGGAGGTTAACTTTCAGTTGGATTTGTGATGTAATGTTGGCTTTTGATTGGTCTTCAAGAAATCTCCCATTTTCTGAGTTTTCTAGTGTTGTGCCAATTAATGTTTTTGATGAGTTGGTTCTCTCCGCGACCAAAATCCTGAAAAAGGAGCCAAACTGCGTTAGTATAAACAGTGACAAGGCAAAGGTTGTTGTGGTTGGAGATCTACATGGGCAGCTACATGATTTGCTTTTCCTTTTGAAGGACTCAGGGTTCCCTAATAATGATCAGTTCTACGTATTTAATGGGAACTATGTAGACAAAGGAGCGTGGGGATTGGAAACTTTCTTGCTTCTTCTTTGTTGGAAGGTGAGATTATCATCTTTGAAGTTTGTGTGGATTTTCACCTTCTGTCTGGTTTACATTCTTTACCCTTATATTACTTCAGATCGACCGACTGGAACTTTATTACTGTTATAGTTAGTTTCATGCCTCAACACATGTCAGTGACGGTATTTTGATTGATCAATCTATTGCTAGGTATTTCTACCTGAAAGGGTGTATCTTCTGCGTGGCAATCATGAGAGTGAAAGTTGTACCTCTGTATATGGATTTAGAAATGAAGTATTAAGCAAGTATGGAGAGAAAGGATCACATGTCTACAAAAAATGCTTGGATTGCTTCCAGTTTCTCCCTCTGGCTTCTCTGATTGCTGGGAAGGTATTTACAACTCATGGAGGTCTTTTCCGTAACACATCAAGCTTTCTCTCACAGAAGCAAGAACGGAGCAGGAAACGGAAAAGAAATCAGAAAAAGCAAATGGATAACGATGTTTCCGAGACTGAAGATGAAATTGACTCCTTGTCCCTTGGGTCATTGGAGGAATTATCCAAAGCAAAACGGCGAGTTATCGATCCTCCTACCGAAGGTTCGAATTTGATTCCTGGCGATATCCTGTGGTCAAATCCATCACCTGATGCTGGTCTTTTTGTTAACAAAGAGAAAGGCATAGGCTTGTTGTGGGGTCCCGACTGCACCGCAAAGTTCCTACAAGACAATGATCTAAAGGTTGCATATATTAATTTCCATAAAGGTTACTTTGCCGTGTATAGTTATTAGTTTTAACCTAGAAGCATTTTGGATTGTGATCGAAATAGTTCACCGGTTTTTCATGTATCAAATGCCAGTATTCAGAACACAACTACCAGATACTTTCGTTCCTTATCAGATATGGCAATCAAGAAAGCAATATGTCATTTTTCTTCAGCATTTTTGTAACGTTATTTCTTCTCTCTTGTAGTTAATCATCAGAGGGAACGAAGGCCCAGATGCAAGGAGAAATAGAGATGGTCTTGCACAAATGGATGAAGGATATGCAAGAGATCATGAAGGGCTTATAACATTGTTCAGTGCTCCTGATTATCCTCAATTTCAGGTAGTGTCCAATGAAATTGTTGTTCGAAAGATTTTTTCAGCTGTCCTGTTTTGTTAATTGTTGTCTGAAAAGAGGTTACCAGTTTACTTATTTTCCAATAATATAATTTTGCAGCCTGAATAACTATTTTCTTTAATGCAGGATACAGAGGAGAGGTACAACAACAAAGGAGCCTACATAATTTTGCAAATCCCTGAATATGAGGAGCCGGAGATTCATGTTTTCGAAGCAGTGTCTCCTAGACCAAAGGTAAATGATTCTCAAATTTGTGACTGGATTTCTAATTTGCATATATCGCGTAAGTTTATTTTGAATGTTTGTTATTGTGCATAATCCATACAGGCGGAGGCGTACTATGGTTTTAGTTGCTTAACTGATACACCTCAAAATTTAGGACACAAAGGCAGCTGTCCTTTTGATTCACTATCAACTGTTCCTGAAGGCAAGGACATTTCAGATTCTTCCGAAATGGTTGAAAATGAAACTACAGATTCTGGAACTGTGGCATCAGTTGACAAAGATGTGATTGATTCTCCAGATAGGCAAGAAACCGGTTCAAAAGAAGCTATCCTATCCGAGACAGGGGCTGTTAGTAGAGTTTTGTCTGATTCAGTTGAGCAACCGGAATCTCACAGCGAAATAGAAAATATTTCTGATAAAGGTGTTGATCCAGAACCACCTGCAGCTAATGATGTCCTTGTGGTTGATTCTGGTGATGCACTAGAAGCTAGAACCGATAAAGCTACAGATGATGTTGCTAAACCAATTGAAGTTGATGGTACTGCTGAAGAGTCTGAAACCAGAGTCAGAGAAGCTAAAGACAATGAAGCTACTGTTCCTTCGAATCTTCTCGAACATAACGCAGAAAATGGGACAACGAGCGAATCTGTGGAACCCGGTTCAGAACCTGGAGACAGAGGTATAGCAGTTGACTGTACCACAGACAAAGACAGATAGAGTTAGAGATGGTTCTGAGAAGTTGGAATCTTCAAACCAGCAAAGCCAATGACTTAGAGCAAGGGCAAAGATTATTATTGATTGTTTGATCTTGAAACTAGCCATATCGCCGAGCCTGAGCTTGAGCCTGGGACATTTACTGGAGAAGACAATGCAGAATCTTGTGGGTTATCCATATGTACGGCCAACCAAAAGGGATGACTCTGGTCCAAACGTGTTTCATGAGAACAAGTGAATAAACCAATGAACCAAGAGAAGCCTGATGAGAAGCAACCAGGTAACTTTGGACATGATTCTGTTGAACCAAAGGCCTCTTAGTTAGGTATATCAGTAGAGAGAGAGAGAGATTGTAAAATATCATTCCTTCCTTTTTCTTCTTCTTCTTTTGTTTTTTTTGGGGGGTGGGGGCACAATTTGCAACCAAAGGTATTGCAGATCTGGTTAGGTTAGTGTTTTTCACTTCTTTATCATGTGTAGATGGTGTTTTTCCCCTTCTCTTCTTTGAACCACTCACTACTGCCACCACATACAAATTCCGACACGGTAGATATCTGTCTGGTGTCGGTTCATTATTTTAACAAACTGGAAATAAAATCAAGGGAGTGGCATTAAAAGAACCTTAAAACAAGAACTAGCAAGCATTTTGGGAAAAAAAATTCAAATTAATTCAACTTGTTCTATATATGTGTGAATGTATATTTGTCTGGGTACATAGCAATGGGCGCAGAGAAGCCCAATTCATTCAATCCGGACCGATGGCATTTTGGTAGTTATGGTGGACGACAGGGCTATTACTGACTTTTCAGGTAAAAGCTAGAATCTCCGGTCGGAAACGCAGCGTATTCGCCTTGAAGCATGGGAATCTGTCTTTGCGCGTCTTCTGGGTTTCTTTTTCTTTTATTAACAACTCGGGCGAAAATCTTGTCGAATTTCTTCTCTCGCGCTCCTTCTAGGGATAGGGTTTCGATTCGGCAGAGGGATTTTTACTGATGCCGTTGAATTTGCCCTCGTAGCCCCTCCTCCCTCTCCCGTTCTCGCGTTGTAATCGCAGGATTCTTCTTCATTTGAAGAGCTTTTAGGTCAATCATGACTTGATTCAGCCAGATTTCAGGTGTTATGACCAACTTTTCATCTCTGCTACTGCTTGCTGCTTTTGTGTTTGGATTTTATTTCATTTCGACCTTTTTTTTGGAAGAATTAGTAACGCGTTGATGTTAGTGTAATGTTATTTTGTTCCGGTGTTAGGCACGGTTTGTTAGCTGTTCTGCGTTTCGCATTGAGACTAAATCCAAGTTGTTTCAGATTCGTTGTGGATCATGAATAGTTTTTTCTCGTGAGTGGGTGGTTGCTTATACGAGATTTCCTGGTCTTGTTTAGGAAAGATTTATGTATCTTTCCCCTCACTTTTTGAAATTTTGGGGTTGTTCAAGGTTTCCCGGGATTGTTTTCAGTTGTTCTTGTTTCAAGGTTTTCTTGCTGTAAGAGAATATCTGGAATGTCGTTTATATGATGTAATAATGCTCATGATTCGCTGTTTTCTCTTTAATCTGGGTTTTGTATCCTCCCTCCTCAGTGATGAAACCTTGTTTGCTGCTGTTTTACTATTCCTCTTTTTAAACAATTTTCATGAATGCTTCCGGCTTGGATCTTTGATCCCAGGTGTTCATTTAAAACTCCAATTGACAAATCACTTTCTTGGATAAGTTGAAGCAATGTTCACCGAGGGAGCCCCTGATTTTGTTGTTGACCAGGCAATCTATTATCCCGCCACTGCCAACTATGGTTATTACTGTACAGGTAAGTCTGTCTGAAAGTGATACAACAGTCCATTACCTTTTATGGCCTTCCAGGTGGAAAATTCCTTCATTCTCTCAAACTTTCAGGTTTTGAATCACCCGGCGAGTGGGAGAGCCATCAGATGATTTTTAGTGTGGATGGTTCTGATGTCCAATACGCGGTGGGTGAACTCTCTTATTGCTCTCATTATCTGGCACTTCTAGCTAAACATTATGTAGCACCACTTGTTATTTCCTTTTCTGATGTTTCTATCTTTGCTTCTCCAGGGTGCGCAGAGCGAAAATTCTCCCTATATATGTTATTCACCTAGTTATGGATATGCACAGTCTCCTTATAATCCATACAATCCTTATATACCCGGCGCTTCAATTGGCATCGAGGCTTCTTTGGTTGGATCCCAACAATATTACTCAATCCCTCCTTACGAGAACATCGGATCTCAACCTACCTATGTTCCATATGTTATTCAACCTAGTATCATGTCAAATAGTTCAACCGAAGCTTTGTTAGAGGCTGGCACAGCTAATGCTGGTAGATCTGGTGCCAGAGGGGGATCCAGGCATAAAAATGCTTTGGCAACTGCTGGCCTTTCAAAGAACATTCCAAAATCTTCAATGTCAAATTCTATGGGTAGGACCTTGGAGAAGTCAAGGCCTACTACTGGACAGAGTAAACAACCAGGGATTGAGAAGAGTGTTTCTTCTGCTCCTGCTTCATCACATCCTTTCGAGGTATTTTTTTTATGTAGTAAAAGATTCTCTCTCTTTTTTTCCCTTCTGAATTTTTGTACCAGCAGCTTGATGAATTGTGATTTAGTTTGTTGACAGGATAAGTGCTCTAATATGTCATCATTCTACTGATTCTGGAATCCTGTATTGTTTTTGCAGGGTAGAGATGCTTCCGTTAGCTCTCAACCCATCACCGATATATCAAGAGGCAAACTCTTGTCTTCTGGGCAATTAGAAATTGCTCCTCCAATGCATAATGGTTTTCCAGCCATTGTATCAAATAATTACAAGCTTCGGCCCAAGATTTATGATGGTAGAGGTGTTACTGATGCAAATGGAAATCCAGATGCAAACATTGAACAGAATCGAGGCCCTAGAACCAAAAAATCAAGAAGTCAGCTCATTGTCAAAGCCTATACGACCAAAGCAGGAAATGCTGATGCGGGGGGAAACATTGTGATCAATACTGATCAATATAATAAAGAGGATTTCAGAGTCGTTTATGATGATGCCAAGTTTTTTGTGATTAAATCGTATAGCGAGGATGATGTTCACAAGAGCATCAAGTATGGTGTCTGGTCATCAACACCACATGGGAACAAGAAATTGCAGAGTGCTTATGAGAATGCACAGAGAATAGGGGCTGAGAAATCTTGTGAATGCCCTGTTTTCTTATTCTTTTCTGTAAGTTCCTCATCTAGTAGTCTGACATATGCTATCGTGCTAGTAGTGATGCTGATACACTCTGCATCAATGGTTGCTGCCTTGTGTAGGTCAATGCAAGTGGTCTGTTCTGTGGTGTGGCTGAGATGACTGGTCCCGTTGCTTTCGACAGAGATATGGATTTTTGGCAACAAGACAAATGGAGTGGAAGTTTTCCTGTCAAGTGGCACATCATTAAAGATGTTCCCAATAGCTGCTTCAGGCACATTATATTGCAGAACAATGAGAACAAACCAGTGACCAACAGCCGAGACACACAAGAGGCTAGTTCTTCTATCCTTCCTTGCTCATAATTATGGTTTTGAGAGCTGGAAAACTCATTCTGTGCCATTCACGTCTGTGCAGATAGTGCTGAAACAAGGGCTGGAAATGCTAAAAATATTCAAAGATCAGGCTGAAAAGACTTCGTTACTGGATGATTTCATGTACTATGAAAGCCGTCAAAGAATCATGCTGGAAGAGAAAAGCAGACTGCTTTACAGGACCTTCCCAAGCCCTTTCCCCGTAACGAAACCAGTTTTTACTGACGGAGTCGAGAAAATTGCTAAGGATGCTAACGAGAAACCTTCAGTGATGACAACTGAGGAGGCTCTTGTTAACAAAGATGTGAAAGAGAAGAAGGAAGCTAAAGATGATTCTGCTTCTACTCTGAAGATCGGTTCCTTCACCATTACTGCAAATGGTGCAGATTCCAGACTAACCTCCTCTGCTCGTCCAGTTTCAACCTTTACCGCCCCTTGTCCCAACTCTGACCAGAGCTCAGGCCATTCAAAAATTGACGTGGCTCCTCCAACTGGTGGTGAATTTGTCAGAGTAGGATCAATGCCGGTAAAGTTGAAGGGATCTGCTACGAAGAAACCATCTCCCATGGTCTTAAACTTCGGTACAATTCCTCTTGACCCCAGATCAATGCAGAAGTAAAACCATGATGGGCTTCTGTTCATCACCTGGCTGGCTATATAATCACATTCCAAGAGCAAGTCTATTACAATGTGCATGATTATCCTTTTGTGTTATTTTGCTTCACTAATCTCCAACGTGGCATCGAGGAGTTGGGGCTTTTGGTTTGTTTCTATTGGGTCCATTGTTTAAAGTTTTATCTGCGGTGCTTTTGGCTTTGGCTGAAGTGTTGTCGTTGAGTCTTTTTCCTGTCTGAATTCTTCAAGCAGAAACTGCAAAGTGAAGTAATATTGTTGTTGTTGTTATTATTATTATTATTTACTTGTTTCGGTCATTTGTGTTTTCTGAATCTGTAATGATTTTACCGTGTGCAAGTAATTGTTCCCGAAATGTGTAAACAGTTTGAGAATATTCTTTAGTATTTTAAGAAACAGTGCATGTGAAGAGCAAGTTATTTTAAGAAGCTTGTAGCCGGGGTGATTATTTTGGGTTGGGTGTTTTGATTTTAGATAGAAAAACAATTATCATCCGGTTTAATATCAATTTCAATTTGATTTGTTGGTAGAGTTGGTTATTTCGGGTTTCTATTCCATTTAGTTATATTTGTGTTTGTTTGGGTATTTTGATTTTAGATAAGAAAAACAATTATCATCCGGTTTAATATTAATTTGATTATTTTGGGTTTCTATTCTTTATATTTGTGTTTGATTATTTTGATTTTAGAAAAAAAGCTTCGATTCGGTTTGATTTTGATCAGGAGTGGATTATTTTTTTTATTGATAATATATATATTTTTAATTTTTTTGGTTATTGATAAAAATATATTTTGGTTTTAAGAAATTATAGTTATTCTAATTTTATATCGAAGGATTAGAGTTTTGTATTATTCAATTTAAATCGGTTTGATTATTTGAGAAATTGAACAACCTTTGGCAGCAATTTTAATTGTGTGGAGAAAATTTTGCAAAATACATTTAGCTTAGGACCGGCACGTGTATTTCAACCTCCAATATTTGGGTTTCCTCTCATTTCTTTCTCCACTCCCATTTCTCTTCAAACCGTCTCTCTCTCTCTCTCTCTCGATCTTTCTTGATCTTGATCTTGATCAATCGCTGGGCTTCGCCGGACGCGAATTTGATCGGAGTTTCGGATTCTGCCTGCCGCCCTAAATGCCGTCACGGTTCATTTGCCGGATCTCGATGATCCTCGATTTGTTAAACCAGAAGTGAAGGAAGGTTTCCCATTCGTTTCGGGCTAATTTCTCTTCTTCTTCGCAACCATGTTCGAAGCTCATGTAAGTTTATTCGGCCTTCTCTTTCTATTTGATATTTTTGATTTTTTTGGGATTGTGGTGAAATTTTCCCCACGAGGGATAATTTTTGAATATGTGAACTGAAAAGAAGAAAATGGGTTCCTCATATCCGAAAGCGCATCAACTGTTTCATACGAAAGCTCATAGGTTATGGGAATGCGACAGCATCTATTGTTGATGAATCAGTTATTTTGTGGGTTTCTTGAATTAACAAAGAAGAGCAAACCGGACGCTGATTAAGGACGTAGTTTGGGCTGTATGTAGATGGGATTCTTAGCTTACAATAGCGCATGTTTTGGATTTGAAATGATATAATTGTATGGTATATGGGTCAATGTTCCTTGGAAACCTGTTATCTGTTTCATATTCATGACTGATGGAGCATAGCATAGCATACAATCTCCCTCCTCTTTCATGTTTTGTCTTTTCCCCTTGTAAGTATTAATCTCATTCTGCAATATATCTTTGCTCTTAGGTAGAGCACAACATCTTTGTCTTTCAGAGTATCTTATGTTGTCATGTTTTTCCTGACGAGTTTCATGTCCATTGCAATTTGGTATCCAGGTGCTGCATCTGCTCCGGAGGTATTTGGGTGAATATGTCCATGGGCTCTCGACAGAGGCTCTGCGGATCAGTGTTTGGAAAGGTTGATCTTTCATTTCCCTCCACATTTATTTTAAGTACTATCTAGGGTTTGTTGGCAGTTTGCATGTGTAGAAAGTTTTTCAGTGTGTGATTTTCTTACTTTGCTTATCGGATGAAGAGGAGCAAAAAGTGACTGATGTGGATCATGCTCAAGCTTGCCAATAGGATGAAATTCCTAGGGTATCTAATCAGATTATGTTTTAACTTTGATTTCGCTTTTTAACATCCAGTTATTGGGTTTCTTACTTTTCAGGGGATGTTGTTCTTAAAGATCTTAAGTTGAAGGCAGAGGCCCTGAATTCGCTCAAACTTCCGGTCACTGTCAAAGGTGGTTTTGTAGGAACCATAACTTTGAAGGTGATTATTTCTGTTCCTCATAGTTTTTTATGATTTTCTCCACGCTGCTACTCATATTCCACCTTCTGTAGCCTGTTGTTTCTTTCTCGAAAGTTTATCCACTTTAGTCTTCCAGAACTTATGCTGGGTGGATTATTCCCACGGGAGCTACTTATGGATAACTTCTCAAGTAGAGGAAGAGAATCTGTCTAACTTCTACCGTTTTAGAAAAATTTCCTTTGTAAATGCCTTTTGGAGATATTGAACTCTGTTGGATGAATTAGACAAAATTTCAGTTATCTTTGTTTATGTCTTTTAGTTATCCAGGCTGCTTATCTATATAAATGAACAGCGGCGCTGGGAAGTGATTCCATAGTTATAATGTCATGCAGAAGTGACACTGTGCCTATGTAATGCAGTACAATATGTTTAAAATAATTTCGTGTGTAATGCATGTAAAAAATTGGATTTTGTTCGCGATGTTGTTTGTTGTTCATATCGGAAGCTTTCTTAGTATAGAATGCCATGGAGATTGGATTGAAACTCTATGCGTTGCTCCAGATTGTTTGCTTGTATTTCCTGATTTATGAAGTTTTACTTTTGTTTTGTTTCAGCAAATGCTTTTTTTTTTGTCAGGAACTCTCTGAAGTATTAATTCATATATGCCAGAGATAGAATGTGACAATTAATTATTGCATTTTAGCTTAACAATTTGCATTTAGCAAGGGAAGTCAAAGATACATATGCACAAATCTTTGTTTCAGGTTCCTTGGAAAAGTTTAGGAAAAGAGCCAGTCATTGTTTTGATTGACCGTGTCTTCGTTCTTGCTAATCCGGCTCCGGACAGCAGAACACTTAAGGTAGGGTGGCTGTTTCTGTCGGAAAGTTGATTTCTGTTTGCTTTTCTGTTATCAGTCTTCTAACTATTGGTTGGAACTTACCGCTTTACACTACCTCAAATTTAGGAGGAAGACAGGGAGAAGCTTTTGGAAACCAAGCTTCAACAGATTGAGGTACTCATTTTTCAAGCTTCATGCATACTTCTTGGTTCTTAATCACATCTGTCATATGAGTTTTGGCTTTTGTTTTCCATCTTAAAGTAAGATTTTGTTGTAATTTGGGGACTATCATTTCTTGTTATTTCATGTTCAGGAAGCAGAATCTGCTACTCTTGAAGCAATAGCAAAATCAAAGCTGGGAAGTGTATGCTTCTGAACTCAAACACTTTTTTCTCCTTGTATCATTCGTTTTGCAATCTTCGGTTTGAGTTACAATTATACTTTCCTAATTCATATTTAGCCTTTTCCTTGTGAACTTCTTTTTAATAAAGTTTTGCATTCCACTTGATAAGTAGCTTGGCGATTGATACTTTTGCAGCCTCCTTCAGGAAATTCATGGCTTGGTTCGCTAATAGCTACAATTATTGGAAACCTGAAAATATCTATTAGCAATGTACACGTCAGATATGAAGATTCAACGAGGTTTGTCAGTTTCTGCTTTTTTGTTCCCTTGGCTTCCTTATAACAGATGTTTCTGTATTCAGAGATCTTAGATGCTTCCTATTGCTGATACGAAAAGTCATGGAAGTGCCTCTTCAGCATTTTTTTTAAAAATATTTCATTTTCTTTACTTCAAAACAACGCTTGCTATAGTAACCCAGGGCACCCTTTTGCTGCTGGAATCACCTTGGCCAAGCTGGCTGCTGTTACAATGGATGAAGAGGGGAATGAAACTTTTGACACAAGTGGCGCTTTGGATAAGCTGCGCAAGGTGAGCTGTTCTACTGTCTTTCCTTACCATGGTTAATTAATCAAAGTAGTTGGAAGGAGACAAAGTTCTATGTGTCTCTGATTCGATAGATATACTGTCCTTTTGAGACTTCGATTGCTTGCATGTACTGGGTTTCAAGAAAAAACGGCCCCTTCCTGAAAAAGCCCCATTTTGTAATATCTCTTCATATAGGAAGTTCAGGGACTTTACAAAGTATTGGACTCCAATAGAACATGAGGTTGGTTCTTTATGAACGAAGATTGATTTTTTTATTCGCTGGCCCAAACCTTTGAGGGTGTAAACAATTATACTGTTCAGTTTAATTATTTGATCTTTTGTTTGGAGTCTTTAAAAAGTTATTTGCTCTGATGGTGTATTTCTTTGCTTGTTTCCTTTTGCCTATGGGCAAATGGTCGATCTTTTATAGCTAAGCACATTAACCGTATAAGCTAATACATCTGCGATTGACTGAAGTATGCATCTCCATGCCGAATGATGATGATGTTACTTGAAGAAAGACTTGAAAGAAATCTTTCAGCTGACACATTAGTTTCTGAAACAGTCATTGCAGCTCGAGAGACTAGCTCTATATCATGATTCTAATAGCTTTCCATGGGAGATAGAGAAGAAATGGGAAGATCTTAGTCCTGAGGATTGGGTTGAGGTCTGTCCTTACTTAACTTCTAATTGTGCTTCTGTTCATTTGCTGGAATATTGATCGATTGAAATGTTTATACTGTATTTTCTAACTATATGTTAATTTTTCTTCAGATATTTGAAGATGGCATAAAGGAGCAGAGATGTGACAGTGAAATAAAGTCGAAATGGGCCTTGAGTCGTCAATACCTATTGTCACCAATCAATGGAGTTCTTAAATATCACCGGTTAGGAAATCAAGAAAGAAATAATCCAGAGATTCCATTTGAGAGGGCTTCACTCGTCCTAACCGATGTTAACATGATGATCACTGAGGTGATAATTTCTTCGCTGGATATAGTCGCCGTATTTAGTTGATTCATTTTCGGGGAAAGTGTTTATCATGTGGATCATGCATTCTCTTTTCCCATATTTCCCTTTTTCAACTTGCTTAAGTAGTCTATAAGAGAGTTGGATGACTGGGTCTATTAGTGATAACTGTCTTAATCACTTGTTTTTTTTTTGTCTTTGTTTCAACAGGAACAATACCATGATTGGATAAAGCTAGTTGAAGTTGTTTCCAGATACAAAACATATATAGAGATTTCTCATTTGAGGCCCATGATCCCCGTATTGGAGGCTCCATATTTGTGGTGGCGCTATGCTACTCAAGCTAGTTTGCAGCAAAAGAAATTGTGGTACATTTTTTTTTCAATTTCCCTATCTCCCATGCATGATTTCCTTAATGAATTCTACAAAGAAATGTCATTTCTTTGTGGAACCATCTTATCTTTTAGTCTTGTTTGTAAAATTTTGACTATCTTTCTGGTAAAGTACCAACACCAGGATGTCTTTGTGGAATGATTCTGTGTTTTGATCCGATTGTTCATGTTTAATGGTTTTCAGCTATCGGTTTTCGTGGGATCGCATTCATCATCTTTGCCAACTACGTCGACGTTATGTTCAGTTGTATGCCAATTTGCTGCAGCATTTATCAAATGATAATTACCCAGAGATGAGAGAAATTGAAAAAGATCTTGATTCCAAAGTGATTCTTTTGTGGAGGTACGTAACCGTAGGTCCTTGTGCTGCATGGATCAAAGTTCTGTATTTTGATGCATTTTCACGTCTGAAAATCCACTCCTCTTTCTTCCCTTTATAGAATGTTTGTAGAGACTGTTTAGAAGAATATGGTTAAAGTTTAGAATGTATTGAAGTAAATTATGCTCCTACATATTTGCATGTATTAGTGTATTGGTTGAATTTGTTCTCAGTACTGTCATACAACCATGTTGTAGATGCAGTTACGTTTCTAGCTATGTGCTCGCATGATTGTTCGACAATGCCCTATGAGAAATTTGTTGTGTGTGTATGTGATGCTCTGCTCATGGTTATCCCATGCAATGATTTATAACTTGGAGTTCCAAGCGTTGAGTTAATAAAAATTATTAGAAAATTTTCAAGAGATGCTTGATTTGATATCTGATGTCATTGTATCCCTTTGCAGCCCACAGCACAAAAATGCTCTACTGTTTCAGAGATGTTCTCAAAAAATTTGTTGTATCTACTTGCTTGTTTTCCTTTGACATGTCTTATGTTTTCCTTTTTGTACTATATTTGCTTACTAGGTTGCTTGCACATGCGAAGTTGGAATCTGTTAAATCGAAGGAGGCAGCTGAGCAGAGAAGGCTGAAAAAGGCTAGCTGGTTTTCTTTTAGATGGTCAGTTGAATTTTTGTTACTTCATTTTGTGAATATTTGTTCTCTTGGATTGTCAGTATTTCGTGTTGATTGTCAGTTCTTTTTGTATTGTCATTTATGTATTTGATGTTTTTCATCTTCTACATTCCACTAATTTTTGTGGTTGCCTCCTCCATGAAGGCGGACAGAAGCTGAAGATGACACTGTTGTGGATAGTGCAGCTGAGGGATCAAAATCGATGGAGGAAAGTTTGACAAAAGAAGAATGGCAGGCAATTAATAAATTACTGAGTCACCAGCCAGATGAAGAGATGGTTTTATATTCAGGAAAAGACATGCAGAATATGACTCACTTTCTTGTGACCGTATCAATTGGCCGAGGTGCAGCTAGTATTATTGATATAAATCAGACAGAGATGCTCTGTGGTAAGTTTGAGCAGCTAGATGTAACAACCAAGTTCAAACACCGGAGTACACAGTGTGATGTATCGCTGAGATTCTATGGCTTATCTGCACCAGAAGGTTCACTTGCCCAGGTTTGTTTTCACACAAGACGAGCACCCATTATCTATTCATTTATCTTTCTGTGAATTGATAGTGAAAACAACTATTCATTTATTTTCTTTTTTTTTTGGGTTGCAATTAAAGTTTCCTGAAGTGAAATTTTGATCGATAGAATTTTGAGTAAAATTGAACTATTGAATCTGAGCTGAAGATTTGACCACTTTCCAGTTCTGTCCTCGTTTCACAGAGTGTGTCTAGTCAGAAAAAGACAAATGCTTTGGTGGCTAACTTTGTCAACTCACCAATCGGAGAGAACATTGATTGGAGGCTATCGGCCACAATATCTCCCTGTCATGCTACGGTAATCTCTTCTTACATGCATGCTGTGGAATGATGGACCTTTTATTTGTGTCCAAAGATGACTGAACTTGTGAGATTAGGTCGAGAGTAAACTATTAGAGCTTCTATCGAAAATCTAGTCGATGGGATTGAGTGAAGTATGCGGTTGCATGAGAATTTGAAATACGCAATGGCTGTGGCCACAAAGTGGGTCTTTAGAATTTTTTTAGTTGTCATCTTTATCTTACCGCGTGGTTGTTTCACTTTTTTTGGTATCAGTGCACTTGAAATTCCAGTATTCACCTTCCTGAGTAGATACATTTTTTCTGAGTTTGGAAGTCTCTTCTATTTAATTTGCAGTCAAAATTAAACTTACCTACTATTGAGGGAGAGAGAGAGAGACATTATCCCATTGAGGTTATCTAACGTGCTCCATGATAGCTTTATTCTGATCAAATCCAGTTGCTGCTAAGAGAAAGAAGAAACATTGTCCACTAATCAATATATTTGAAGAATTGTTTTTCCTATTCTAGCTTGGTACCATTATATTAAGAATTGGTGTCCTGCAAATCTTGTGATTTTCAGATCTTGACTGACAGTTTTGATCGTGTGCTGGAGTTTGTGAAGCGAAGTAATGCAGTTAGCCCAACTGTTGCTCAAGAAACTGCCACTGTGCTTCAGGTATTGGTGTAATTCTCAGGAGCTATTCTCTGAATCTACTCTCAGCCTGATTGCAGTGAGAACTGCAGGTCATGGTTTCAATAATTTGTTGAAGGCAAATGTTTGTTGGTTACTGCTCATTTTTCATCATTCTTAACTATAGATGAAACTAGAGGAAGTAACTCGGCGGGCCCAAGAACAACTTCAGACGGTGTTGGAGGAGCAGAGCAGGTTAGAGCCTGTTAGCTTTATTTTTGAATCTTCTTGTGTTGTTATTCTCGCGTTTGCCGGCCCTGCCTGCACTTTCATTTGATCTTGTAGACGAAAGATGTGGAGCGATTGTTGCATTTTACCTGGGGTTAAAAGCATGGGGATGGGGGGATGGGGGGATGGGGTGTGTGGGGTGGGGTGGTGCACCTCAGTCAGCTTGTTCATTTATTGTTTCTCAAGAGGCTATATATTTGTGCCTTTTTTTTGTTCATGAGGTGATATTTGCTAATGATGTTGAGCGGATTTTAATTGTATTCCTTTCTTAAATATCTCTAAGGAGGAGAGTGCTCACTACCTTTCCTATTCTTTTCTTCTAATCTCTTAGGTTTGCTCTTGATATTGATCTTGATGCTCCAAAAGTAAGAATTCCTTTGAGGGCGGCAGGCTCTTCCAAGTGTGATAGCCATTTTCTTCTGGATTTTGGCAATTTTACACTAACCACTATGGTAAGTTTCTGGAGATGCTTTGGTTTAGATATATTTTTTGTTCTTCTTTTTTCTTAAACTTGTTGAAACATTGCAGGATAGTCGGTCTGAGGAGCATAGGCAAAACTTATATTCCCGTTTCTACATTTCCGGAAGAGATATTGCTGCTTTCTTTACGGACTGTGGATCTGACAATCGTGGTTGCAGTTTCCTCATGGAAGATTTCAACAATCAGCCAATTATGTCTCCTATTCTGGAGAAAGCTGACAATGTTTACTCATTAATTGATAGGTGTGGAATGGCAGTAATTGTTGATCAGGTATCTTTTTAACAGTCTTTCCTATTTTATAAGTTAGTTATTATATTAATGAAGTGCTTGTACCCCTTACATCGATTTATTGTTTATTGCAGATCAAAGTACCTCACCCAAGTTACCCGTCCACCCGAATTTCCATTCAAGTGCCAAATCTAGGTGTTCATCTCTCACCAACAAGATACCTCAGGATCATGCAATTATCAAACATCTTGTGGGATGCCATGAAAATTTGTGGTCAACCGCCTGTTGATAACCTCCAGGATGGAATGCTACCTTGGGGTCCTACAGATCTTGCTAGTAGTAGCAGGGTTTTAGTTTGGAAGGTATCTGCTGCAACACAAATGTACTGTTCAAACATGATCAATATATATTAATGCTAACTTCTATACAAATATTTTGTTTCAGGGAATTGGTAACTCAGTTGCTACTTGGCAACCTTGTTACTTTGCTTTATCTGGGTCATATTTGTATGCATTTGAATCACAAAGGTCACTGGATTATCAACGATATTTAAGGTTCGTTTTGTATTTCCTGTTTCTTTTCTGTGTATTTTGGTTATATGAGCTCTCTTGTTCATTGTGTTTTCTAGAAATAGGTGTTTCTATTGAAAGGTATCTTGCATGGGATCATGCATTTATATTTTGAAAAATGCAGCATGGCCGGAAGGCAAGTATTTGAAGTTCCACCGGCAAATGTGGGTGGCTCGCCCTACTGCCTCGCTGTTGGTCTAAGAGGAATGGACCTTAAGAAGGTATGCTGAGTTGCTTTTTAGTATTTCAGAGAACGCATGCCATATCAACATGTTTATAAGCTCTCTAGGGCGTAAAAGTAGAGCTATATGTCATCAAATTTATAGCTTACTGCATTTTGTAATGGTTACTTAATCCATATGAACCAAATGATTTAAACATTATCAGTCACTCTCTGTACCTTTGTTATATTGAAACTGCTTTTCAAGACCTACAGGAGCAAGGGCATTTTAATAGACGGTTTTGTGTTTTTACTTCTGTTTGGTTAAAGATGCTGAATCTTTTATTTTCTTTAGGCTCTAGAATCATCTAGCACCTGGATCATAGAGTTTCAGGGAGAGGAGGAGAAGACAGCTTGGCTAAGGGGACTAATTCAAGCTACCTATCAAGCTTCTGTATATGATATTCCTTTTTCCTTTCTCTGTAACTATTGAGAGCATCTTTTTCTATTATTACCATTATCGGGTTCTATTTGTTAACTGGATGCTATTTGTCCCTGTATAGGCTCCTTTAACGGTGGATGTTCTTGGACAAACAAGTGACGATACTGCAGACCTCCCCGAACCTCAGACTCGGATTTTAAAAGCTGCTGATCTTGTTATTAATGGTGCTTTAGTTGAGACAAAGTTGTTCATATATGGAAAGGTCAGCTGTGGTTAGCTTTCTTTGTTTTTTGTTGTGCATGCAGTTTTATGTTAATGCCTTTACTGATTAGGAACTTTATTGCTTCCTGAGTTTAGGAGTTTTGATTTTCTCGATGCAATGTTTTCTTGATTTTGCGTTTGACTTTCAAGGTATTGTATTTTCTTTCACAGATCAGAGATGAAGCTGACGAGAAGGTTGAAGAAGTTCTGCTTCTTGAAGTTCTTGCTGCTGGAGGAAAGGTTTGTGCTCCTTAAGTGTAACACATTGCTTATTCTGATGTTCAGTGTGATAGTTGATTCTGGTCAGCCAAACAATAATATTGATTGGGATAAAACATAAGCAACCTAGACCTGTTATAATTTATTTTGGTTAACCAAGTGATCATACAATGTTAAGTACCAGAATAGTCATATTTTTGGTTGTTGTGGTTGATTAGAGTTTAACTTGTCAGCGTAGTTTTTGCTCAATCCGATAGCATATCTCAAGGGTGATATTTTCAACTCATTAGTGACTAGCACTTAAATTCCGTGCTTTTTAACATTTCTCATAAGTGGAGTTTAACTTTTCAAATAAATTTCATAATGTGGATCTAGTTTCATGAGTAGAGGAACACATGTGCTTTGCAGGTGCACATGATTAGTTCAGAAAGTGGCTTAACAGTCAGGACAAAGCTACATTCTCTTAAGGTTAAAGATGAACTTCAGCATCAGCTTTCCGGAATTCCTCAGTATTTGGCATACTCTGTTTTGAAGAATGGCGACATACAAGACTTGCATGGAGTATGTGATTTTAATGATAAGGAGATGCCTGTAGGACATGTGGATGATGAGGATGCCTTCACAGATGCTTTGCCAGAGTTTCTGTCTCCAACAGATCCAAGTACTCCAGATATGGATATGATCCAATGTAGCATGATGATGGACTCTGATGAATGCGTCGGGTTCAAGTCTGCTGAAGGTTTGGTTCATGAAAAAGATGGATCTCAGGGTAAGGGCCTCTATGATGAGGTATTTTATGAAGCACAGGGTGGTGAATTTTCTGACTTCGTGTCAGTTGTCTTCTTGACAAGGAGTTCAAGTTCTCATGACTATAATGGAATAGATACACAGGTATGTAATGTCAACATCATGGGCACAATCTAAGTTTGTGACGTTATATATTATTTATTTTACTAATATCTGATTGATAAAAAAAATCTCAGATGAGTGTCCGCATGTCGAAACTGGAGTTCTTTTGCAACAGGCCTACTGTTGTTGCTTTGATTGGTTTTGGCTTTGATATGAGCACCGCGGCTTACATGGAAAGTGATAAAGATGCTAACATCACAACACATCAAAAATTGGATAGTGAGAAAGAAAAAAATGATGAGAGTGGACGTGTTGAAGGCTTACTTGGATATGGCAAGGACCGTGTTGTCTTCTACCTGAACATGAATGTTGACAGTGTTACTGTATTTCTGAACAAGGAGGACGGTTCTCAGCTTGCCATGTTTGTGCAAGAAAGATTTGTATTGGACATTAAGGTACAGAATATTGGCGTTTCGATTCAACCTGTTTGATTATGCTTCCCAGATCTAACTAACTTCGTTTTCTATAGAATAGTTCGCGTTGGAGAAACTAAATTTGCTCAATACATGCCTTAGTATTGCAATTTAGTTCTTAAAGCATGAATTCTTATTATGTTTCTGCTTGAGTTTGATGTTTTAATCTTACAGGAATGATGTTGTTCAGGATCTGTTTTTTTTTAAATCATAATCATTTGGCTTCATTTATTTGTTTGTCAAGGTTCACCCAAGTTCTCTCTCTATAGAAGGAACTCTAGGAAATTTCAAACTATGTGATAAGTCATTAGACTCTGGAAACTGCTGGGGTTGGCTTTGTGACATACGTGATCCTGGTGTCGAGTCTCTTATCAAGGTATTGAGTTTTTATTTGTTAGTTGTTGAAGGGTCTGTTAGAGCTCTATTGATTCTTTGTTACTTTTTTTAAGATTTCGTTTTACACCACCTTATTATAACCATTCTATTATTATTGTGATTAATTTTTTCTTTTATGTTGCAGTTCAAATTTGATTCATACAGTGCTGGCGATGATGATTATGAAGGATATGATTATAGCTTATCTGGTAGACTTTCAGCTGTTCGCATTGTGTTCCTATATAGATTTGTTCAAGAGGTATGTAGAGGAACTAATTGTATGTCTTGATCACTAGACTTATGTTGTCTCAAATTACCTAGTCGATTTGGAATGTGATCAGCACAGATAGAGTACTTGTTCTTTGTACTTGAGATGACCTATATGAACTTCTTAATATTATTGTCGATCAACCTTAGCAAGTTTTTTGCAGATAACAGCTTACTTCATGGGACTTGCCACTCCTCACACAGAAGAAGTCATAAAGCTTGTCGATAAAGTTGGAGGCTTTGAGTGGCTAATCCAGAAATACGAGATAGATGGTGCTACTGCGTTGAAGCTGGACCTTTCCTTAGACACTCCAGTAATTGTTGTTCCTAGAGACTCAATGAGCAAAGAGTAAGTAGAAAGTTGAGCTTTGTATTACTCAAATTTTGCTTTGATAACTATATTATTCTAGGTTTAGGACAACTCTACTGCACTCGCACTCTTCACGGTTTTCTTTTGGTTTTTATTGGACATCTTCTGTGTGGATTTGTTTTCCGCAGTTTGTGTCCATGAATTATTTACTGAGGAATTTGGTGTTACCATTTAGTAATAAAGAAGCTAAAAGCATGAGGTCTGCAATATATTGCTTTCAGCGCTAGCTTTCAGCGCTAGCTCGCTAATATCTGCAACAAATTAAGTTTTGTTCTGAAGTCAGGTAACGCCTTAATTCTTTTATTCTTGCAGTTACATTCAACTTGATCTTGGCCAGCTGGAGGTATCAAATGAAATAAGTTGGCATGGGTGTCCAGAGAAAGACCCTAGTGCTGTCCGTGTTGATGTTCTTCATGCAAAGGTATATTGTTTATGATTGTTTGGAATTCATGCCTTCAACTTGCTAAATGCATGCTACGAAATGTTATGCCTTGAATGGCTTAATGCCTCCCCTATTTTGGGTTTGGTTGAAGGTTCTGGGGCTTAATATGTCAGTGGGCATCAATGGTTGTATTGGTAAACCTATGATACGTGAAGGGCAAGGATTGGACATCTTTGTTCGGCGCAGCTTGAGAGATGTTTTCAAGAAAATTCCAACGTTTTCTCTAGAGGTTAAGGTAACAGTTCCACCTTCTTGCTTGTATGATTTAAGGTGAACTTTAAATATCCACTTTTCAGTATCAAGAATCTAGAATAAAATGAAGTTAATTGTTTCTGATTTGTTTCTCATTATTGTGAGTATCGGAACAGCTGCCTCATATTACAATATTATTTTGAAAGGAATTAATTTGCTAGCAGAGATAGAAAAGAGTAGCCATAATGTTGATATCCTTCCAGAACGAAAAGCTATTTATCCCTTGAGTGAAAACCGAGACTACATTTCACACTATCTCTGTTTTCTCATATATGGTTCTCTTTTTCTTTGTTACTATCAGTAATCTTATTACCACTTTTTACTAACAGCCATTTTTTCAGGACTAACTATTTTTTTAATATTTACTGGACAGATTGATTTCTTGCATGGTGTAATGTCTGACAAAGAATATGATATTATCGTCAACTGTTCATATTTGAATTTGTGTGAGGAGCCAAAGCTACCCCCAGACTTCCGTGGTGGCAATTCTGGTCCTAACGATAAAATGCGCCTGCTGGTTGATAAAGTTAACTTGAATGGTCAGATGATTATGTCACAGACAGTTACTATACTGGCAGTCGATATCAATTATGCTCTTCTTGAGTTACACAATAGCGCCAATGAGGAGTCACCACTAGCTCATGTTGCTGTAAGTGTTTCCTGGATCTGGATTTGTTTCCTTTTGCAATTGTCCCTTCAGCATGAGAAAGCACAATTACTCATCCCCTATTTTGTGTGATTCAACAGCTTGAAGGATTATGGGTATCTTACAGGATGACATCACTTTCTGAGACGGATTTGTATGTGTCTGTTCCTAAATTTTCTGTTCTTGATATCCGTCCCGACACAAAGCCTGAAATGCGACTTATGCTCGGGTCATCTGTTGATGCTTCCAAGCAAGCTTCTTCAGGATCTTTCCCCTTTTCCCTAAATAAGGGAAGCTTTAAGCGAGTCAACTCTAGGGCCAGTCTTGATGTTGATGCACTGTGTTCAACAATGCTGTTGTTGGATTACAGATGGCGAGCTTCTTCTCAGTCTTGTGTTTTGCGGGTTCAGCAACCTCGTATCCTTGCTGTACCCGATTTCCTACTTGCAGTTGGTGAATTTTTCGTCCCAGCTTTGCGTGCAATGACTGGCAGAGACGAGACAATGGATCCACAAAATGATCCTATCACAAAAAACAATAGCATAGTTCTCTCTCAACCTCTCTATAAACAAACTGATGATGTTGTGTACTTGTCCCCTAGTAGACAATTAGTAGCTGATTCTTTAGGGGTTGATGAATATACTTATGATGGTTGTGGGAAGTGTATCTCTTTGAGTGAACAAGGTGACAAAGATTTCAGTGCAGACAGAATACAGCCGATCATAATTGTTGGACATGGAAAGAAGTTGCGGTTTGTGAACGTGAAAATTAAGGTAGATAGATATTCTTCTCTCCTTTCTCTGTCCTATGCATGCTTTGCAACAATTTCTGTTCACTTGGTATACTAGGATTAGATTTCTATACATTCTCCAAAGTCTTGCACCATGGAATTAATTTGTAGCATTTACTGGTTAGCAATGCCCTTCTTTTTTTATGGTTTTGAATATGTGCTTTGGCTTCTTTTATAATTTCCCTTCATTGTGGCAGAATGGATCCCTTTTGAGCAAGTCCATTTACTTGAGCAATGATAGCAGCTGCTTACTTTCTCCGGAAGATGGTGTTGATATTTCGGTTGTAGAAAAATCCTCATCTAATCCTGATAATGTGCTTAATGACGCCTATGCATCATCAGATGCCCTGGACACTTGTCAGGATGATTCCAACTCTGGCCAGAGTTTTACATTTGAAGCTCAGGTAGTTTGACTCGAGGTTTTTCATGCGTACTTGATATGTTGGTTTGATTCTTTTCAGCTGTACAATTCCATGTGGCTTGATTTTATTTAACCTAATAGATGATAGATGGTCCTCTACCTTTACTCCGTATTTATTTAGAACTTTTGCTTTCTGATATTTCTATTTTCTTGCGTCTGCTTTTGTGTGTCATGCCTTTTACTGATCTGGTGTTGTAGGTTTTTCTTCTTTCAAAGGTCTCTTGATCATCTTTCTTTATGTTGCCATCTTTGACGAATCTAGATATGAGGCCTATGTGATATATCAGATTCAGATTGGAAGTTTCTTTTTTGATATAATAAGTTTTAGACTTCTCTCCTGTGTGCTGAGTCTGCGCCTGCATATGAATACTATACGGGGCTTTTGTTTGCTTCTTTATGAGGCCTATGTGATATATCAGATTGGAAGTTTCTGTTTTCATATAATAAGTTTTAGACTTTTCTCCTGTGTGCTGAGTCTGCACCTGCATGTGAGTACTATATGGGGCCTTTGTTTGCTTTCTTTATGTCCTAGGTTTATTAGGTGAAATTTAAGTTAATTCATGTCCTTCATATGAGGTTTTGTATGTGCAGTGTCAAATCTAATTGCACATTACAATTTGTTCACCAATAAGTATTTCTTTAATTAGATACTTACTTTCAGTTTTCATCTGTATGCTATGCCACTTTTTTCCTTTTAAATTATTGTGTGTGAATATTACTCTAATGAGAACAGTGAAAATGATGATTTACAAATTTCTGTGCATGTTCCATATGTTCCACTTTCTCTAATTGTTAATATATAGCCGTAAGTTCTTTTATATACATTTTGTAAGTAGTAGAGCATAAAGTGGTTCTTGGCATTTCTCAAACCACAAGTTTTAGTATTGTTCTGTTACTCCAATAATGACTAATAAGAAATGTGTTCTATGGTGCTATTTCATTAACTGGCCCCTTTTCTGAGTGTTAATTTTAAGTTCGTGCAGGTAGTTTCTCCCGAGTTCACATTCTTTGATGGCACAAAATCCTCTCTGGATGACTCTTCTTCTGTTGAAAAGCTTTTGCGGGTGAAAATGGATTTTAGTTTTATGTAAGTGTGTCACTATCGTATTTTAAAATGCTGTTATTTATTTTCATATTATTACTATCTGCTACAGAAAAATCATGAACAATTTGAACTAAAAAACTATTTTTCTTCAACTGCCTGATGTTTTGTTGATAAAAGGATATGATCGGATTGTTGATATAGAGGATATTCTGACTATATGGATCTCTGCTATTATATGACTCTAAAAGGAAAGTGTAGTATTAAATTCAGTCATGTGATAACCCTCCCATCTGGCCGCTACATCCTACACCTGTTTTTTGTGAAGAAGCTTATTTCTTTCCTATTTTCTTAGTGGAATTAAAATATCACTTTATTTTGTTGATGCATGTTGTTACTGTTTCAACAGGTATGCGTCAAAAGAAAATGATGTCTGGGTTCGGGCTTTGCTAAAGGACCTGATGGTTGAAACTGGTTCTGGTCTTATCATTCTTGATCCAGTCGATATTTCAGGGGGGTATACCTCTGTTAAAGAGAAAACAAATATGTCATTGATGTCAACTGACATATACATCCACCTTTCTTTGAGTGCTCTTTCTCTACTACTGAATCTGCAGAGCCAAGTATCAGGAGCTTTACAATCTGGCAATGCAGTTCCTTTAGCTCCATGCACCAACTTTGATAGGATATGGGTTTCGCCCAAAGGTATGTGCTAGTTAAGTTATGGAGCAGTGTTTAAACCTTACATTGCTGAGCCACAATTTTTGGTCTCGTATACTGCTTTTCTTCTCAAAGAACAGTCTGTCAGATCATCCTCTTTCTGTTATAAGTTTGTTTTTGGGGCACATGCAGAAAATGGACCCAGGAACAATCTCACGATTTGGAGGCCGCGCGCTCCTCCAAATTATGTCATATTGGGAGATTGTGTGACATCAAGGTGATAGTTGCTGGAGACTTAGCTGTTTATTTATATTTTTTATATTATGATGTGTTTTTTCTTTGATTTTCCCATTGCAGAAAATTTTTTTCTGAAAAAGTTGAATTTGCAACTAACCTGTAGGAAAGTTTATGGTTTACTCACTTTCCATATACTTTACAATATTGGAGCCTGGAAATGGTCATGAACGCGTCCTCATCTTAATCTTTTGAATCTTGGATTTATGAGTAGCATCAAACCATGTCCGTTATAAATCCGAAACAAGAACATTGATGTACTAAAAACTAAGCATATTCTTTCCGTAATGGAGGTGTGAGCACAACCTTGATTCAATGACGTGCCAGCCTCTCTTTTTTTTACAATGTTTAATGTTGTTATGTTGTTATTCTCTTTTGCAATTTTCCTTACAGGGCAATACCCCCTACACAAGCAGTAATGGCGGTGAATAATGCGTATGGGCGTGTGAAGAAGCCAACTGGGTTTAATCATATTGGTCTGTTCTCTGTTATTCATGGTTCGGGAGGGGCTAGTGGTCATTCCAACAATGACAACGAGTGCTCTCTCTGGATGCCTATAGCACCTCCAGGATACATTGCTATGGGTTGTGTTGCAAATCTGGGAATTGAACCACCAGCCGATCACGTCGTTTATTGTTTACGTTCTGACCTTGTATCTTCGAGCAGCTTCTCAGAGTGCATATACTTTGTGCCCTCTAGTTCATCGATCAATTCTGGATTCAGCATATGGCGCATAGATAATGTCCTTGGATCATGCTATGTGCATTCTTCAACTGACACTCCTTCCAAAGAATATAGTTGTGGCCTCAGCCATTGTCTTTCTTGGAGTCTTCTTCCAGCGAAGTCATCTACATATGTCTCTGATCCATCATCTGTTAATGAGTTTAAGAGCCAGCAAACAAGTGACTGGAGTGGAAGTTCATCAGGATGGGATATTCTTAGAACAATCTCTAAAGCAACTAATTATTATGTTTCAACTCCTAACTTTGAGAGAATCTGGTGGGACAAGGGTGGTGATCTTCGTCGACCAGTCTCAGTTTGGCGGCCTATATCACGTCCTGGTTTTGCCATACTGGGTGATTGCATTACTGAAGGGTTAGTAAAAATTATTTAACTGTTTTATATGTCTCTAGTGTTAACCTTGAATGCTATCTTCTTACAGTTCTGTTATAGTAACATGTGGATTCTTCTTCCATCTAAAGCTTGGAACCTCCGGCCCTGGGAATACTTTTCAAAGCAGATGACACTCAGATTGCTGCAAAACCTGTGCAGTTCTCTAAAGTTGCACACATTGTTGGGAAAGGTTTGGATGAGGTTTTCTGCTGGTATCCAGTTGCACCTCCTGGTTATGTTTCTCTAGGATGCGTTCTCTCTAAATTTGACGAGGCACCACCTCTGGATTTATTCTGTTGTCCAAGGATTGATCTTGTAAAGCATACAAATGTTTACGAAGCTTTTGTCTCAAGGTCTTCAAGTTCTAAATCGTCTCAATGCTGGAGCGTTTGGAGGGTTGAGAATCAGGTTCGATAATCTCATCTAAGTTTTTCTTTCTGTGTCTCTTATTCTTTGAAGAGGCCAAAATATAGTTAGTAATTAATGCAGGGTTTCCCCTTGTCATCATTGAATTTGAGAACTTTTTTTTTTTTATTTGCATTAGCTGCCACCCACATAGTAAAGGTATATGTTGCTTCTGATATCAATTTATACAATGTGTAGGCTTGCACTTTTCTTGCTCGTTCTGATCTTAAAAAGCCATCCAGTCGGCTAGCTTTTGCAATTGGAGAATCCATAAAGCCAAAGACACGGGAAAACGTGAATGCAGAAATGAAGTTGCGATGCTTTTCTCTGACCTTTCTAGATGGCTTACAAGGAATGGTATGTAACCATGGTCAATCGTATTAACAGATTTGCTGGATAAACGTGATGTTCACTTATAGATGTTGTTTTGAGTACTTCCAGATGACTCCTCTGTTTGACACAACTGTCACCAATATCAAGCTAGCAACTCATGGTCGTCCTGAGGCCATGAATGCAGTGCTGATCTCCTCAATTGCTGCTTCAACATTTAACCCACAGTTGGAAACTTGGGAACCTTTGCTGGAGCCATTTGATGGAATATTTAAGTAAATATAATCATTCTTTATTATCATTTCTGCTCTTTTCTTATAGTTTCCAGAATTGTCATGAGTGTTAATGTTTGCTTTGAAGGTTGGAAACGTATGATACAGGTCTGAATCAAACGTCAAAGCCAGGAAAGCGCGTGCGAATCGCTGCTACTAACATCTTAAACATAAATGTTAGTGCTGCAAATCTTGAAACTCTTGGTGATGTTCTTGTCTCTTGGAGAAGGCAGTTGGAACTTGAAGAAAAAGCAGCTAAAAAGAAGCAGGTAACATTTTGTGCTTTCCTTTTATGAATGGAAAGTTCTTTGAGTTTTGCTTTAGTTGATACTTGTTAGTCCGCTCTTACAGGAAGCAGGTCTTTCTGATGGAAATGGGGATTTTTCAGCCTTTTCAGCTCTTGATGAAGACGATTTTCAGACCATTATTGTAGAGAATAAACTTGGGCGTGAAATATATCTGAAAAAGCTTGAGGAGAACTCAGATGTGCTCGTACAGTTGTGTCATGGTGAAAACTCTTCTGTCTGGGTTCCACCTCCAAGTTTCTCCAATAGGTTAAATGTTGCAGACAGTTACAGAGAAGCACGTCATTATATGACCATACAAATTCTTGAGGCTAAGGTTTCTATATTTACATACTTTTTATTTTTTGCAATTTTAAACTATATTTAAATTTTTTTGATTGCTTGTTGCCAATTTTTTATGGCTAAGATTATATTTTCCACTTGGATGTGCAGGGTTTGCATATAGTCGATGATGGTAATAGCCACAACTTATTTTGTGCTCTGCGCCTCGTGGTTGATAGCCAGGGTGCAGATTCACAAAGACTTTTTCCTCAAAGTGCTAGGACAAAGTGTGTTAAACCTTTGACTTCAGCTATCAACAATTTCATGGAGTGCACGGCTAAGTGGAATGAATTTTTCATTTTTGAAATTCCAAGAAAGGTACGCAATGATTATTTTAAAAATGTCCCTTGGTTCATCTTCTCTTTTCACTTTGAGATGCAGAGTCATATCTGATGATGCTGTAAGTATTGAATTGAAACAGCTTCTTCCGGATGAGTCATTCTCTTAATGCTCACTTTAAATTAGCTGGTCATTTCAATTTACATACTTTCATGTTTGAAATAGAATGTTCTCGAAAGGAAAAGACTGTCATAGTTTTGAGACTAAAGAGCTTCCTATTTGGTTGTAATAGGGATCAGCCAGATTGGAGGTTGAGGTAACAAACCTTGCTGCTAAAGCTGGAAAAGGTTCCGTCCTATGACTTCTTAGATCTTTGATTCTTGATTCTTTCTTTGATTGTAACCTTGAATTCTGCTGTCCATTTTTTTCGGTGCAAAAACTTAATGATTTCTTTCTGAAAGTAAAAATGAGTTAGTTTTCTACCCAAGCTTCTAAATGCAGTTTTTTATATATTTATTTTCCATTTCAGTCATTGGATGGGTTTGTTTTTGCCACCTGAATAAATACTATTGGATAGTTTCAAAGAGCTGATTTTGTTCTGTGTTACCTGATATTCTTTCTTTTACACTATTGACCTATGTAGGTGAGGTTGTGGGGTCGTTTTCATTTCCTGTTGGATACGGTGCTAACACGCTGAGAAAGGTAGCTTCAGTTAGAGTACTAAATCAGTCAAACGAAGCTCAGAATACAATTTCATATCCACTTCGCAGAAAGGTTAGTTACTTTTTAATTCACTTTTAATTCCTATCATGATGTTCTGTGGCAAGTTTTTTTAAAAATATTTCTGAAATATAATCTAACAAAGCATTACGAATTTCCTTTGCTGTATGAAATGAAGAATGCCGAAGATACCTGTGACAACGGATACTTGTTCGTCTCGACTTCTTATTTCGAGAAGAGTATGATTGCCAACACCCAGAGAAATATGAAAGATAAGGAATTTGTTGATGGAGACACTGGTTTCTGGATTGGAGTTCGCCCTGATGATTCATGGCATAGCATTCGTTCATTGCTTCCCCTCTCTGTTACTCCCAAATCATTGGAAAATGATTTCATTGCAATTGAGGTTTCCATTAGAAATGGAAGAAAGCATGCAATATTCAGAGGTTTAGCTACAGTTGTCAATGATTCAGATATCAGTTTAGAGATATCTTTATCTTCTGATCAGACTATATCTTCAGGAGCAAGCAACCATAAAGCTTTTATTGCCCCTACATCTTCGTATGTTCTACCGTGGGGATGTTTATCCAAGGATAATGAGCAATGCTTACATGTTCGGCCAGGGGTGGAGCACCCTCATTCTCCTTATGCATGGGGTTGTTGTGTTGCTCTGAGTTCTGGTTGCGGAAAAGACCAGCCATTTGTAGACCAAGGTTTGCTTACTCGACAAAGTACTTTGAAGCAGAGTAGTAAGGCATCTACTTTTGCCTTGAAATTGAACCAGCTTGAGAAGAAGGATATGTTATTCTGTTGCCAGCCAAGTACTGGGAGTAAGCCTCTTTGGCTTAGCATAGGAACAGATGCTTCCGTTCTTCATACAGATCTTAATGCACCTGTTTATGATTGGAAAATTGCTATAAATTCCCCGCTGAAGCTAGAAAATCGACTTCCCTGTCCAGCCAAATTCACAGTGTGGGAAAAGACAAGAGAAGGTACATATCTTGAGCGACAGCATGGTACAGTATACTCAAGAAAGAATGCCCATATATATTCAGCAGATGTTCAGAGACCTGTATACCTCACGCTCCTAGTCCAAGGTGGTTGGGTTCTAGAAAAGGTTGGTCTTCTATTTCTAACAATGTATTCCCTCCTGAAAAACATTTTTGTATTGTTGCTTATGTTCAATGTCATTTTTTGTAGGATCCCATTCCTGTTTTAGATTTATCTTCGAGTGACAGTGTATCATCCTTTTGGTTGATCCATCAACAGAGCAAAAGGTTTGTCATCCCCGAGGTTACGTTTTGGTTTTCATTTTTCCTGGGATTGTTAGTCTTAGTCCTGTCGAGTCTGTTACTTAATCTTCATGCCTGATGATTGAGGTTAAGTACACTTATTTGTTTCTGGAATAATTGGTGGATGTAGCTCACAAAAGAGTTGCTAGCTTAGAAATTTCTCTTTTCTGACTTCTGTTACTGACTCTTGATTTCAATCAAATGCTATCATCTAAAATTTCTTGAAAGTATTTTATCTGTAACATCTCTAAACTAAGCGGTAACCTGAGGAGAAAATTTACTGTAATTGAATATTGATGATTTGTGAAACAAGAATGTATTGCGAGATTAACAGATGAAATTTGAGATTCCTCTCTGTTTCATACCAGATAACAATTCCATGAAACATTACTTTTCCATAAGCTTGCGCTCTGTTTTGATGGATTTGCAGGAGATTGCGTGTGAGTATTGAGCGTGATATGGGAGAGACTGGTGCGGCACCGAAGACTGTAAGGTTCTTTGTTCCATATTGGATTACAAATGATTCGTATCTCCGTCTGGCATACAGAGTGGTGGAGATTGAACCTTCAGAAAATATGGAGGCAGACTCCTCCAGTCTGTCTAGAGCTTCCAAATCTTTCAAGAAAAATCCGACATTTTCCTTGGATAGGAGACTACAAAGAAAAAACCTCCGAGTGCTTGAGGTTATAGAGGACACTAGTCCTATACCTAGCATGCTTTCTCCACAAGAATCAGCTGGACGGAGTGGGGTTTTATTGTTTCCTTCACAAAAGGATTCTTATCTCTCTCCACGAGTTGGTATTGCTGTTGCAGTTCGTGATTCCGAGATATACAGTCCGGGAATTTCTCTTCTTGATCTTGAAAAGAAGGTGACCAACTAAAGCTTAATTACTTGTTCAAAGCTGATGGCTTGTCTTTGTCGGACTGTTAATAAACTATAGATGAATCATCTTTTGTGCTTGGAGTTTCCTCCTTATCGCATGGATGAAAACTTGAGTTTTTCTGTATCTCGTTTACTGATTTTTTTATTTTCTGTAATTTTTCTTTGACCTGAAACCCTTTTCCAGGAACGCATAGATGTCAAGGCATTTTGCTCAGACGCGTCATACTACAAGCTCTCTGCAGTATTGAATATGACATCTGACAGAACAAAGGTCAGATATCATTTTCATGATTTCTGTTATATGTTGCTCATTTTTTTCATCATATTTATGATCAATTCCTTGTCTTAATATGACATCTAGTGACTAGTGGTTTACACGATGTTGTTATCACATATTGATGCAAAACCACTGCTTATTAGCAAAGCTGAGACAGTTCTGATTGGCAAATATGGATGATCAGACTATTAAGTTTCACTCAGTATCCAATGAAGTATTAGATGACTAAATCTTTTTGCTTTCAGGTTATTCATCTCCAGCCACACACCTTATTCATTAACAGGGTGGGTTTGAGCATCTGTCTTCAACAGTGTGAGTCTCAGACAGAAGAATGCATTCATCCTTCAGATCCTCCAAAGCTCTTTGGTTGGCAGTCTTCCACTAGAACTGAGTTGCTGAAGGTATGTAAATTGCCTTGAAATTCCGGTCTCTTGCTTTCAATGAAGATTAATGTTCTTGGCGGTCAATGGCCAATTTTCAGTTACGAGTTAGTGGATATGGATGGAGCACACCATTCAGTGTCTCTAATGAAGGTGTAATGCGTGTTCTTGTTGGGAAAGAAGATGGAACCGATCAATTACCACTGAGGATACAAGTCAGAAGTGGAACTAAGAACTCGCGATATGAAGTTATTTTCAGGCCAAACACCATCTCAGGCCCGTACAGGTTGATACGTATACCACATTTATTTACTGCAGGATTTTATTTTCTCTTTCGGTTTCCCCTTACTGCTATTGTGATTCCTACTCGGTTGATGGATTAACTAACTAACTAAGGCTTGAAATTTGTGTGGAATTCTGTTTCTCTTAATAGTATATCATGTTTGCTGAGTCTAACTGTATTTGTTCACTCTTTTATTTTTGCTCCCTTTCACTGCATATACTCGTCTCAGTGACTTATTATTTTTCAATTGAAACCAACGTCCTCTGCACAGGATTGAGAACCATTCCATGTTTCTACCTATTCGTTATCGACAAGTGGATGGTAACAGCGATTCGTGGCAGTTTCTTCTTCCTAATGCTGCTGCTTCATTTTACTGGGAAGATCTTGGTAGACGGCATCTCTTGGAACTCCTTTCTGACAGAACCGACCCATCAAAATCTGAAAAGTATGATATTGATGAGATAGGTGATCATTTACCTAGAAGTACCGAACATGGACCAACAAGAGCCATAAGAGTTACTATTTTAAAGGAAGACAAAAGGAACATTGTTAAAATCAGTGACTGGATGCCTTCCTTCGAGCCTACTTCGAGCATGAACAGAAGACTTCCCGTATCATCTCCGTCAAAACCTTCCGGAAATGAGTATCAGCAAGCTCAGCTGCTGGCTCCAGAAGAATCCGAGTTTCACATGATTGTTGAGCTTGCTGAGCTTGGTGTTTCCATTATTGATTCTGCTCCAGAGGAAATATTGTACATGTCAGTGCAAAATCTCTTTGTAGCACATTCAACTGGCTTGGGCTCTGGGCTTAGCAGGTCAGTGCAGTAGTTTTTCCTAATGAGTTTCCTTCAGGGTAAATTCAATTTTTAGAACATCATGGCATGTTCATAGCTCCCCAAATAATAAATCCGGTCCAGTTAGGCATTTTGATACATTATGCAGTTTTGCTGGAATGGTCATCGTATTGATGCATTATAGATGTTTAGTCCGTAGACATTGCGACTATGTTCAATCACCAGTAGTGTGCCGAGAGGGATTTGGTTAATATTTCCTGTATAAATCTTTGCTAACATCACAAATTTTCACATTCGTGTTTATCAGATTATTTTGACTGGTTGCTTCTATTTGTAAGAGCAAAACTGCGATCAACTAATGTCAAACGCTTGCATCCGAGCTGCATTAATGACAAATGATATGTAATCTTACAGGTTCGAAGTACGGATGCAAGGAATACAAGTAGATAACCAACTGCCGTTAACTCCTATGCCAGTTCTGTTCAGGCCCCAGAGAACAGGCGATAAAGCTGATTATATTTTGAAGTTCTCTGTGACTCTGCAATCAAATGCTTCTCTTGATCTCCGCGTCTATCCCTATATTGGCTTCCATGTAAGATTGTTCGGTTTCCTTATTTCCACCTGAAGTTTTTTTAAATTGCTTCTAAAGAAGTACATGCCCACATTGATATTTCCGATTCAGGGACCTGAAAACACTGCCTTTCTGATAAACATTCATGAACCTATCATTTGGCGCATCCATGAGATGATTCAGCAAGCCAATTTGACAAGGTTATCTGATTCTCAGTCAACAGCTGTGTCAGTTGATCCCTCCATTCAGATCGGGTATGTAACAAGTTGCTGATATGTGAGCTGTCTGTAAACCGAGTCTGCTGATTTGTTTTTTTTATAACCTTGTGTGATTACCCCTTTGAAAATACAGAGTTCTTAACATCTCGGAAGTTAGATTCAAAGTAACCATGGCTATGTCTCCTGGTCAAAGACCAAGAGGAGTGCTTGGTTTTTGGTCATCCCTGATGACTGCACTTGGTAACACCGAAAATATGCCAGTAAGTCTGCCAATGGTTAATTTAATGTTTATACATTTTAAGTTCGTTCTATGTTTGTACCATCATTCTTCCCATAAGGATATTTTCATATTGATTATAATTAATGAGTGTCACAGGTTTGAGTATTTAAATGAGCTAACTATACCTCCACAATTTTTTTGAGCTATTAAATACCATAATATTTTTGGAATCTGCCTAGTAATTAGGCAGAAGACAAGTTGAATGGATTAAAATCTGCTTTTTTTCTAAAAGAATATTGATTTTAAATCACCAAACTTTTAATTTTTGCTGTATTGTCGTTTGAATACAAAAAAAGTGTGGGTTTTACTGACTAACGTTAGTAGTTCATATTTTTTTCCCAGGCGTTTTTCCCCTGTTTAATTTGTAATGATTGCCAATTGCTATACAAACCAAATGCAGCTGGATTTGGATCTTTACCTTTTTCTATATTGTTGCCATAAAAAACAGGTACGCATAAGTGAAAGATTTCATGAGAAGATATCAATGCGCCAAAGTACGATGATCAACAATGCAATTAGGAATATAAAAAAGGACATCCTTGGCCAGCCTCTTCAACTGCTTTCTGGTGTTGATATTCTGGGCAACGCAAGCAGTGCCCTTGGACATATGAGTCAAGGCATAGCTGCGTTATCAATGGATAAAAAATTCATTCAAAGCCGACAGAGACAGGTTTGTTACTTTGCTTTTGAAGAAAACCGAATCGAATCGTAAACTGAATTGACCAGTTTAAAAACAAGGAGTATGAGCCTACCACCATGGCCCCCACATATTGTGATTGTGTATACTCATAGATGCGTCTCTTGGTATGTGGCAGGAGAACAAAGGTGTTGAGGACTTTGGCGATATTATCAGAGAAGGAGGTGGAGCATTTGCAAAAGGGTTGTTTAGAGGAGTCACGGGCATATTGACAAAGCCTCTTGAAGGCGCAAAGTCTTCGGGAGTGGAAGGGTTCGTCTCGGGTGTTGGGAAAGGAATTATCGGTGCAGCTGCCCAACCCGTGAGTGGGGTTCTGGATTTTCTGTCCAAAACGACTGAAGGTGCAAATGCCATGAGGATGAAAATCGCAGCTGCTATCACCTCAGATGAGCAGCTTCTTCGTCGGAGATTGCCCAGAGTTATTGGTGCTGATAGCTTGCTCCGGCCTTATAACGAATACAGAGCACAGGGACAGGTAAATCGTTAAATATGAATCTGTCGGTTATGTTGAGATACATCAAACTAGCAGTATTTCATTTATTCAGATAACTATGAATTCCCTTTGTACATGTTTGCTTCAAGCTTTTTGAAAGTTTTTGTTTTGATTCTCTTGGTACCCACAATTGCTTGTGCAGTGTTCAAACTTCTCCATTTTTGCATTTGCAGGTTATACTTCAGTTGGCAGAATCTGGATCGTTCCTCGGTCAGGTTGATCTCTTTAAAGTACGAGGGAAGTTTGCCTTATCAGATGCTTATGAAAATCACTTCATGCTTCCCAAAGGAAAATTTTTGATGATCACACATCGAAGAGTGATACTACTACAAGTGAGTCCACAATTTCTCCCGTCCTATATTATATATAAATTTGCACAATCTATTTTAAGAAGGACTCTCATGTTCATGAGACAATTCAATTTTTTTACAGCAACCCTCCAACATAATGGGTCAGAGAAAGTTCATCCCGGCTAAAGACGCATGTTCTATAATGTGGGATGTGCTATGGGATGACCTGGTGACAATGGAACTGACTAACGGGAAAAAGGACCAACCTCGATCTCCTCCTTCACGCCTCATTCTTTACTTGAAGTCGAGAGAGCAATTCCGTGTTGTGAAATGCAGCCCCAGCACTAATCAGGCCTTCGAGGTTTATACCTCCGTTGATCAAGCCATTAACACTTACGGCCAGAACGCTTCAAAGGTCAGCCTCTTCTTCCTCTGTCTCCCCCATGTAATTATAACCACAGATGAGATTATTTTGATAGAGAGAAAGCAAATGTATGTTATTCAGGGAATGGGGAAGAACAAAGTGACAAAGCCATACTCCCCAATGTCTGAGAGCTCATGGGCTGAAGGAGCTCCTCAGCAAATGCCCGCATTGGTCGCACCTTCTTCAACCTTTGGAACTACTACTAGCCCTTCATCTGCTCCCAGCCCCCCCGCCACTTAGCACTAGAGACTGAAACGTTATTGGTAAATGACTTCTCCTATATTCTATTTAGCCTTTCTTTAGTAGGCCCATTCAGTTTTGGTAAAAAAATAAAGTACCTTTTATGGGCACGTAGGATATAATATATATATATATATATATAATTATAACTGTGTATATAGATGCCTGCCCTGCATATCTCTTTTTGTACATCCTTACATACATCATATATACATACGGTCTGCCACATAAATTTTTATATTCGTAATTTTTCTCCTTATTTCACGCTATGCATTCGTAATCGAATACACACCCCATTCGTCTGTCTGCTATGGATTCTTATGGTATTGGGTCGTCAAATTATGTTCGATTTCCTTCACAGAATGTGATATAACAACAGATTATGAAATAAATAACGAAAGATTATACAAGATATGTTGACCTGGAAGAAACGACAGATTACATGGCTGCGATGCAGATGCAGATGCAGATTCGCGCCATGACCGCCATTCTCAAAGCCGTCAGCACAAGGTCGGCACCACCGCATTCTTCACCGCCGGCAGCTCCTGATGGAGAACAAATACACATTGAATCGTTGATTCCTCATTTTGACTTATAATAATATAATGGAAAAATTCCAAAAAAAAACATTGAATTTTTTAAAATATAAAAAAAAATTGTAAAAGTGTTGAGAAATACCTCTAATTTGTATTATTTTTCTAAGAGAAGTCTTACACTTCATAAACCATTACATATTACACATTTGACCAATTTTTCAGATGAACGAAAATTTATATATAATGTCAGCATTTTATTTATAAATATATGTCAACATTTTTTTAACTAAATAAAATCCAAATCATAAAAATAGATTTTGAAATTAAACTAAATTTTTTAATTAAATCGAATAAAAAAATTAAAATTAAAAAACAAAATTTTAATAAATCTTTTTAATAAGTTTAATATAGAATCAGTCAAATGTGTAATATATCAACTTCAAAGCTTTTCTTATAAAAATATTGGAAGTTGAAGTCTTTTTTGACAACTTAGGTTTTTTGCTCTACTAAAAATTTAATAAGTTTAATATTTTTTCGAGAATTTTTTCTAATATAATTATAAAACTATAATAAAAGTAAAAAAAAAACCATCATTTCAATCCCTCTTTTGAGGGAGTTTGATATGGAATGTGAGGAAGATTCTAGAATGAGAGCATAAAACCCCAATACTATTCTTCTGTAAACTATATAAATATGGAATGTGAGTAAGATATGTACCAAGGAAATTACACCCAATACTATATATACTTGATTTAATTTTAATGCTCATCTATAATCATTAGCATCTAACAAAAAAATGGTAGGTACATTGATTGTTGAATCTATTCACTTAAGGGAAGCCAAATCATTTCATTTTTGTCATTAGCATTAATTAACTAGCCTCCTTATTTTTGTTATATATATATATATATGTATGTATGTATGGGATCATCCATCCATCCATCCAATAATAGATTTGGCTTAGAAACCCTAGAAAGAATGATGAAGATGAGAAGCCAATATTGTGTAGCGGTGGTTGCTATGTTTCTGCAGATATCCACAGCGATTTCAGAGCCAGCGATGGCTCCAGCAGGACCAAACCTCATTCAACAAGTCTGCAGCCACACCTCTTTTCCCAAACTCTGCGTCTCCTCTCTCTCTTCCGACCCTTCGAATGTCGCCTCCAATCTCCAAGGTAAACCCCATACTCATTTTTTTTACTGGTTAATTCATGTATGTATAATATATTTTTATGTATAAACTTTACAAATACTGTCAAAGTTCATGTCGTTTATCACAACATTCAAAATTTGTGTATTTATATGATTTTTTTAAAATTCATTTTTTTTTGTAAAAAAATGACGTCATTAATATATTTTGGATTTATTTGAGAAATTTTTCAAAAATCGAGGTATTTATATATAATTATAGAAAAGTTTTTATAATTCAAATATTTATTTGTGATTTTTGTAAAAATTTAGATATTTATATGCGATTTTTTTTTTTCAAACTGTTGTCTCTATATTCAAATCTGCAATATAATTTGTAAACTCTATCAATGTATCAAAGGTTTGGCATCAATCTCTATCGGCGTAGTGTCGAAGAAGGCTAACGAGACGATGCAATATCTTGTCGAAGAAATCGCGAAGATTCGTGAGAGAGGCGACTTCGAAAGGTACGGAAGTTGCATTGAGGAGTATGCAGCCGTCATCGATAGATTTCTGCCGGCGGCTTCGGCTCATCTGAAGGCTCAAAGGTATTCCGACGCAATCACGGTTATGATCGATGTCTCGAAAAGCTCGCAGCACTGCGAAGAACAGTTCGCAGGGAAGTCTCCGTTGTCGGAACGTGACCTTACCGTCCATGATCTCGCTGTTAACTCTGCTGATGTTATCAAAGTGTTGGCTAGCCCTTAACATTCTATAAACGCAGAAAATGCAATTTAGAAAATAAATTTGGAAATTTTTTCTATAAATATAGAAAAAAAAAATTCAACTTTTGATTGTGTTATTTTGGTTAAATCGATATTTCTACTTCTTAATATATCACATGGATTTACTTAAATATTGAATAGTGAATTTTAGAAGAAATAGTTATTCTTCACTAATGAATTTTTTTTTAAAAAAAGAATTATGCATGGTAAAACGCGGCGAAAACATATAAAAGACGAGATGCATTCCTCACGCGCCTAAAATTTGTATTCCGCAAAAATCCGCCGATTCCCTGACTATAACCCACCCAGATCAGGCGCGTTATGATAACGCGCTTATCCTGCGCGTGGTATTCATTCTACGCATAAAACTTCTCATTTCAAAGATCTGGGCTTGTTTGTAGGTTGTTGGGCTTTTCGGCCCACATATGTTTTACCGATATTTTCTACACTACCGTTACTTCTTGGGCTTTATGTTGGGCTTGTTGGAAAAAAAGGTAGACTTTCACGGTCCACGCGCCTAAAAAGCCCAGAGATTTTGGGGCGGTGGATCTCACGCGCCAGTTAAGCGCCTGGGATGATTCTACATTAGGCGAAATTTGACACAGTCAAATACATCTCACAACCCTCGTACCAAATTCGGACTATGAGCCCAGAATTCGGGCTTCTCCAAATCTACATCACGAAGACCAACATGTAACCGAAATTATGATCTCTAATGACAAAAAACAAAAGATCAGCGGGCAGGAGGGGAGGAGAAGAAGATGACAAGGAAGTATACGAGAAAACCCGCGAGAAGAATAAGACCGTAGACAAAGGTTTGGGAAGTGTCGACTGCGTATTTGTACTCAATCTCACAGCACCTCATGTTGTCCCTTTCTGCTTCCAGTACATGTTCTACGTACCTGCATGCACATCCCCCCGTTTATATATATGTATATAAGGTTTCCAAATTTCATGGCAAGATAATCCCAATTGAATTTTCCATGGTTATAATTAATTATCATTATAGTATGTACTTACTGTTGGGTAAACATGGTGGTCTGAAGAATCTCCGAGCTGTTGACGTGAGCGTCATAGAGCCGATGGTCATATAGCAACGAAGAGAGATCCACCAGCTGTTCCTCCACCGTCTTTCAAATGAAGGAAAGAAAGTTGTTTTTGAGAAATCAAGCATTAGCAGAGAGTTAAAAAAAAAAAAAAAAAGAGTTTTTTTTCTTTGTCCGAGAGAAGACTTACGTCGAGATACTTCTCAAGTCTTTCGACCAGCTCGTGCGGGAATGGCTCCGGCAAGTTGGTTGTCTTTTTGTAGAACTTCTCAAGCCATAGCTCGGTTCTGGTCTTGTTCTTTTTACCCTTCACTGGCTCCCCAAGTGGAGTCTTTAGGTATTCAGATGCGAAGTTTTGGACTGCCTGTTCACCGCAACAAAACATCCAACTGATAAAAATCTCTTGGGACATAAGAAAAACTACTAGCAGTTGCATTTCATTTGCGTTTTTACGAATGTCACCTCTGACGTTTCACGGATTTTGCGTAGAGCAGAATCGACTCGTGCATAAATTGTATTCCTCTGCCAGAAAAAAAAAATCAGAAAAACATTCAATTTTGGAATATTTCAGAATTGAGAGATCATAGCCACACTACCAGGGCAACATCTTGAAGCATTTGACTGATCTGAGAGGTATTTGAGAAAGGCCCAAAAGGGTGACAACCGGTCGACCATAGCCAATTGGTGACAGGCCTTTCATGCACATGAGAGATCTTTTCATGTGGTGCACCCAGTCCACCTAAAGCGGAAGCCAGACCAGCCAGTATATGCCGCTGTACCTGTGTTGGATCAGCATGTTGTCTCTCTGTTTCAGAAACATAACTGCAACATAAGAATGAAAAACTGGTCTGTTAAATCTGTGTTAACAGAAATAGGAACATTATTACTGTTATCAGCATTATTGTGCTGCTAACCTCAAAGGTATTTTCTCATTTAGGTGCTGAAGCACAATGACGACATCACTGCTTGTCCATACCAGGCTCTCATCCTCCATCATGAGCTTTTGGTCCACATCAGCCAATGAGAGTATAAAACTACACAGAATGGTGACTAGTATAAATACATGTACCAACTCTACAGCGGGATTGAATGTGTGAATCAGTAGTCAAATGTCAAATCACTTAAGCAGGCAGAGGAAGATACAAGATACCAAAAAAGAGAAACAAAAAGAAGAACAGAAACCACAATAAAACAAATTATTGCATCTTGCAGCCTGATTAAAAAAATGTTTAACTCACACTGGAATGACTCTTGTTCCGAAAGTCCGATAGAGATCTCCTTCTTTCTTAGTTACTTTCTTCTTCTTTCCTTTCTGAAGTTTTGAGTTATAGGATGCCCAGAGAGGTTTGTGCTTTACCACAGAATCACTTGAACCATCTGACTCATCCATCCAGCTCTGGGAGTAAAAAGATGGAAACTCGAGTTATAACGAAATTGGGAATGGATAAATGTGTATACTGTAACGGGATGTACCTGGCGGAGAAAGTATTTACTAGAAAGTGTGGGGTCAGACACGTCAAGCAACCCAGCAGCTAGTACATCAGCAGATCGTTCCATCTCCTGCGATGAAAATTAAGCCATTTCAATTTACTGATTGCATCTGTTGACAGCAGATGAAATCTCTTTTTAACACTGCCGGCCCAATATTTTCTACCGTATCTAACTTGGAATCCTATGATGCCAAGAGGAGAGAATATAGACAGTAAAAAAAAGAAAGAAACCCACTTCTTTCAGAATAGCACCATCTAGGTATGTTTTGGTATGAACGTGGAATCGTCCGTCCTTCTTTGTTTCCTGAAGAGAATGTCCACGCATGGCTTTCGAGACAGCAATAGCTAACTTCTCATGGCGATGTAATGCATGGGCACCTCCAACAATTACTACTTCTTGCCCGTGGTGGACCAATTTCTTCACCTGCAAAGATCAGGGGCAGTTTGCATGTGAAGTTCGACAGAGTGTTATCCTTTTTGTACCTTGGGGAATACTCTGGGTTCACATAAATCACAAATAATGGCTACAAAAACAGAATTATTAGACTGAATTAACAGCAAAGTTAGAAAACCTATGGTCTTACAACTCATACCGATGCTCACAAGGATGGGAATCTTTTCGCCAATTCAAGCATATCATATCATTGAAAAGCAGAAGTCTTTACCTCGGATTCTATCTCTTCGATGTTAATGCTGTAGTTGTGGCCTTTTTCCATTATGTTATATCGATTGTGGTTCTGGAGCACAACTATCGGGATGAGCACTCTTGTAGCAAGATCAACAGTCTCAAACCTGGTTTCAACAAGAATGAATCTAAAACATAATTCCACAAACAAAACGAAAGAATAGGTAAAACCCCACATTTCACATTACCTCACATCAGGAGCTATTACATGCTCAATTGTAGTCGATACCAGTGCTGCTAGCTGACCAGAAAATATATCATGGGTAGAACGATAACTAACAGGGCCAAAGTTTCCTGAAAGCACTACGTTTCGAATCCTTGGCAATGTTCTAGAACTAACACTTCCCTCTTCAGTTTCAATCTTCCCATATGTACAAGGCCCTGCTGACAGGTCTATGACAACATATCTATACATAGAAAACAAAAATCAGAAAGATAAGAAAATTGAGAACTCTGTTGGAAGTTCTAGCAGGGGCTAACAGAATAAGAGCCAACTATGACCAATTAATATCTTGAAACTCTTTTTTATATCGTAGTTCATCAAGCTGAAATAACTAGTATTAATAGAGGAAATCAAACTAAGTGCCTTTTATATTCTACATATTCCTCTGATTCTCCGAAGTGGCACTACTGACCTATCTATAATCAACAAAAGAGAAAACCACATTGCACATGATTTTTATGCAGAACTTTTGACAACTAGATGCAATGCTTTCAGGACATGTTGGTGTAATTCTGTTTGTTCACATCTATGGTACAACCAAAATGGTAATAAAGAAATAAAAGGACAAGTTAAGCTAGCAAGCAGTTTATCGTCGGGTTACTACAAAATGTGCATCTATGACGAGCAAAATTAAGATGAGTTTACCTGCCTGATCCAACCCAAACTTGGGAAGCTCCTCCACCATTGTATCTATATCGATAAATATAATCTCCCTCTTGTTTTTCCATGTCTGCTTCAGTAAGTTCTGGTAGCTTAGCAAACATCAGGCTTTCCAGATCGATCTCCTTATTTCGAGGATCCATTCTTACCTGGATACAAAGTAAACAAAGAAACAGAAAGAGGAAAGGAATCAGTCAAAGAACTCAGCAGGATAAGCAATTGGTAAATAAATGAAAAGGAAGGACTGAAGAAGCAATAGTTAGCACAACATAGTACAAAACCTATAAGCTGAGAGGGCCAGAAAAGAGTCTACCACAAAATTGGGCAAAGCAAACAAAGAATAATATTTACGTCCTTTAGACCTTCTGTACACATTATAGCAAGAAAAGCATTGCAACTATACCTTATCAAAATTGACAAAAAATATCGCACTAGGTATAGGCCTATCCATGTCTCCTGCTGATCCAGCCCCCATATCCATATCAAATATATAAGAGTAAAGCCTGTTAAATGCAGCCTCAACCTTTGTTGCCTCCACGTCATAAGCAGGTAAATGTCTTCCAAAATCAGCCTAAACGGGAAAAGAAAAAAACTATTTTAATTTCACAGTCTATATGGTAGATGGATGGGGTAAGAAATTGAGGTGACAAAACCACAGCCACCTCTAGAGCAGTCCCAGCAGGTACCATGGCCTCTTTCACTGCTTTCTCCAGAGCTATCAATTCAGCTTGCCCAATCTGCAGCAAGATTAATAACAGCAAAAGGTTCAAATAAATAGGTCACTAGGAACACAGGTGAGAAGATTGCAGCATCAAAGGGGCATAGATCTGGACAACTCAGAAAATTCCTGGGATCGGATAGCAGACTTAGTTAACATATCAGAACAGTGAATGACATTGATACCACTTAACCAAATTTCAACAGAAAAATGCAGCAGAATGAATCTTGTACAGTTAAGACTGGTATAGGTATAGAAATTACTTACAGGAAATACATTATAAACAAGGTGATGTTCAATATCAAGTGGCTCTCCCGTCTCTTGGCATGAGGGCCTATGAGATGGAAAACTAACTTTCAAGAATTCTTCCAATTTGTGGGGATCCATAGAGTACCTGTATCCTCCATCTCCATTCAGACCTACGAGCACTATATTCACCTCCAGAGGAACCTGAAATGGTACCTGCAAAAGCAAAGTACAGGAACATGGAACAGTTTTCTTAAGGATGAGCTTCAGTTCCTCATGACCCAACGTAAAACAGCCAATCACACACACATACTGTCCTCCAGGACACAGGTGGGGCCATCGAAGAACATTTGAGCCGTGACATTATCACCATTATGAGCATGAACTCAGTTATCACCATGAACGTGAAATTGGCAAACTATACAATGAGAACAGAAGATATGGTTAAACCCTCAAACCCTCCTCTCAATTTATGGCTTTCAACTAGCTAGTTAACTAAATGTCCTGGAAATTCTGGGGAAAATAGAAAAGAAAATTCAATATTAAATGATAAAATCCGGATTAATATCAATGATTCAACAAGCCGAGACTATAATTTCGAAATAATCAAGGGCCAACGATGAAGCCACCGCTTCATGGAGACCTTCCTCAAGATTTGTAGTGAAGATCCAGGATTCAAACTCAGTGATGATGACGGAAAATGCGAACAGGGACCCTAAACCCACAAACGCGCAAACGAAGAAAAAGAGGAATTCAGGCGGAGATTTACCTCGGCACGGGAGTGGAGCATGCGGCGGACGTCGGATCGCACGCTCTCGCGTACGTCAAGGAAGGCGCTGTGGTGCCATTGCGGATGCCCCGGTTCACGGCGGAAGGGTTGCTGAGCCGACTCGGACCGAGTGACGAGTTGGCTCAGCATCGGGAGCAATACGAGTAAAAGGGCAAGTGATACGAAGCGTGAGCTCGATCTCCCTTCCATGGCTGAACAACTCCGATACTTTCTCTATGGTTCTTCTTCACCGTTAGCTGACGAGTTTCTCCTCGCGAGTCATCGCGATTTGGACTGGAGCCGGTGATGAGGGGGGAAGAGAAGCCAAGATTACAAAAATACCCTTTTCTGCAGAGCTTCACAGCTCTTGGGCCCATAATTATATTGGGCTTTCTCGTGAATGGTATGTTTTTTCGAAAGCTGGGCTTTAAACTGGACTGTTGGGCCGCGTTTAGATAGTGGGGCGTTTTAATTTTAAATTTGAATGACAAAATATCAAAAATGCGAAGTTACACTAAAATTTCGTTTTTTAAATTATTGGTACATATTTTATGGCATGCGATTTCAGGTAATATAACTCTGGATTTTCGAAACTTAATATGATAATTTTTCATGTAAATAGACGTTGAATGAATAACATGTAAATTGCATTTGTTTTGAAGGATAAATTAGTCAATTGTCAAAAAAAAAGAACACCCACAACTCATTTCAAAAGGGGTCATAGTCATACGGGCAAACGAAATTAAAATACTGAAACTGGATCAGTGGATCTTTCACGACAGTAGGGACCAGAAAATGAACACGACAACGAGGAGAGAGAGGGGGAAAGAGAGAGAGAGAGAGAGAGAGAGAGAGAGAGAGAGAGGGGGAGAGAGAGAATCAGTGTTGAAGAGCACTTCGGAGGGAGAGTGGAGGAGGAGGGTTGAAGGAGTTGTCGTTGTTATGGTGGTGGTGGTGGTTAAAGAACAAGACAATAACAGTGATGTCGTCGTGAAAATGCCGCCGGACTTTCTTGTCGATCTTCCTGAGGTCTGAATATCTCATCTCACGTTTCCTCGCCGCCTCGTGAAGTGCCGCTTTTATCAGCCTCTTTGCGCTTCCCTGTGTTACCAACCAGACGACAACCTTAACTATTAGCCAAACCCCATATGACAGACGGCAACTATGCACGTCCAGGAACAAGGAGGCAACCAACCCCTAAACCCAGATGCATTGTCAGATCTTATTCAGACAGAAGAATGACAAGATAACTTAAGGGGAGGAACTTACAGAGCGTGGACTGCTCTGGACAATCTCAACAGCCTTCTCATTGCTCAAGTGTTCCCATAGACCATCTGATGCAAATATTAGGAAAGAATCACTCGGCTGCAATGGATGAACGATCATAGCCGGGTCTGCTGACATCAACGGCCTCTTCACTGGCTCTGCCAATCTGAACTTTGGGTTGATTGGCTCCCTGTTATACTCCGTGTGTTTCATGTATAGATCTCCTATAGATCTAGAGACCTGCATCCACACACAAACAACAGAATGTCCTACTGTCAAAGCAATCAGGGCATTATTATCGGGCAGAGACGTGTTTGTTCAATGCCTGAGAACCACACGGAAAAAAAAAAACGCCTTGTACAGGATCGGTTGATCGAAAGGACAAGACAATCAACCTAAATAGTTTTAGTCCAAATGAACAGAATCTTTCTGAAACCCATCAACTAACTCTGGCAGTCAGTTGAGAAGAGAAAGAGATCAAGAAGGCTTTGAATGCCTGCAGCTTCATGGACATTATTCATAAAGCTTGGATTTTTCTTTTAATCAAAGTGGGGCAAAGCCCGAAAGTTATAATTCACCTGAATAGAGAAGACTTTTAATGGATGCAAAAGCATTCAAAATAGATTTTTTAAAAACAAGGAAAAAGAGATGGAGTCCTACAACAACAAAAAAAAAAGGCAGACACACCATTACCGCACTTGATCAAAAAGCAAGAACTCAAGGGTATAACAAAACAACTAGTGGAAAAGATCAACGGAAAAAGAAATCAGATAAACCCACAACCAATCACTGTCTATAATAAAGGCGAGACAAAAAGGCCATGAAATAGCACAAATCTTCAGACAATTTCAAGAATGAGAAAACCCTGCCCTCTCCCCTGAAACTATTGAACTGCAGGTGCTGATGAGATGTCTTTCAATTGGTTGCAGTGAAATCATCCGACCATGGACCAGATTTTGTCCAAGTTCGCCCTTTCATTGGAAAAATAAGCAAGAAAGAGAAGGAAGTTTTCAAGGAATGCAAACTAACCTGAATGATGCCCTTAACCCTCCAAACACCATGCCTAAGCACAACGATCTGTGGGTCATCAGGATGCAAGTCCTTGAGTTCCTGGCGAGTCTCCTCATTGTTAACGTTGTGTTCATTCGATAGCTGGATGGCTGCAACTCCACCAGTGTTCCCGACTTTCTTTCCCAAGACAACCCGTGAATCTCCAAGGCTAGCCACGAACAGGGTATTCTGGTAAATCACTCCAACCAGACAGCAGGTGCCAACTGTTGCCATATTTGGCAGTGTACTCCAAAGATCTGATACAAGAGAGGTGAACCCCTCTTCTGTTGCATAAAAAGCTCTCCGTATTGTCTCGGTTGTCACAACTCCTTGCGTTTCCGCTGATATTGCTGCATAATCATAAAGCCTAAGCAATCCCAACATAAGAGAGGCTCAACCTCTATATAAAAGTTTTAAACAAACAAATATGGGAACAGAGAAATTGACCAGAAGAACAATCCAGAAAACCCTAGAAACACCAAAGAGGGAAAAAGAAAAATTGAAAAGACAGCACTTAAATGCATAAAGGTTAAAGAGTTTCACAAAAGACCAGGTCTAAGAGACAATACATTGGAGCAAAACAACAAGACCCATAGACAGAGGGAACATACAGTGAGTTCAAGCGTACTAGTAGTACTTAAGCAAGCAACATACAAGAACTGTGTTGCATGCTGTTACATCCTCTCGCCATACACAAAGAATTCCATGAAATACATATGATCAACCCACATGGAAAATGCTGTTTCAATTAAAAAAAATCTGACAAACAAGAGCAGACCAAGATGCCTATAAATCCCTCTCATTTACACTGTTATTCAACCTGATGATATAAGTGTAAAAATCTATCCAAAGCCAAAAGAAAGCTACGACGGAAACAAATATAGAAGCTTGCATTTGACTCAATGCTTGCCACAGTAAGGGGAGGCTCTCACACCTCAAAATCACAAAGCATCCAATAAATCAGATACTTTATACCACCACACCTAACAGGCACCATTTGAGAAAAAGAAGATCTAACCACACGGCACACAAACAATTTCATTTACATCAAACATCTGATGAATAAGAGCAGACCCGAATGGCCAGAATTCCCAAGCGCCAAATCTGTCGGAAGACAAAAGATGGAAGCTTCAACAGGATGGTAATAGGGCAGCTAACATTTGGCTCAAATCTCCAAGTATATAAGAATTTCTACAGCTAACAACCATAAAATCTTTCGGACAGACAAAAAGACCCAATCCACTATCACCAAACTTAACTCACACCATTTTGAAAATAAGAAACTGATGACTAAGAGTAGACCCAGATGTCGAGAATTTCTGTCACTTGTTATCGTTATTTGGCATCAGTCCAAAATTCTCTTTAAACCCAAAAGAAATAAAGATAAAGCAGCTAAAATTGGGCATAAAAGTCGGAATCAGTCTGCAGCCAAAACACGGAAGCTCAAACAGATTGAAATATAGTAGCTTCCACCTGGTTTGATGCTCTCTAATTCTATCACTGTATACCTAGGTGTCCCACAAAATGTTCCCAAAAGAAAACAAATCTAAAATAGCACACCACTGAACAAGGATTGAACGGCTAATGGCAGACCTAAATGACAAAATTTTCCACTTTTGCAGATAAATAAGCACGGCATAGGCCTAGAATTTGTCTGAGCCAAAAGGCAGAAGCTTCAACAGTCCAGACAAAGTGGCTTACATTTGCCGCGATGCTCTCTAACAGTGTCGGAGACTTGGACGAAAAAGATCATAAACATCCCAACAGACAAAAAAAAGTCAAAAATACTTGATGCTGTCAACCAATCACCAAACCTAATGAACACCAAACTTCATCCCCGAAGACTCGAACCAAAAAGACAAATTTTAGTCAACGGAGATTGTCGATGTCAAACAAAGTCATGCCGGTTGAATACTGCAACAGCTCAAAAATCAAAAGCACGAAACTCTTCGAATATGATGGATGAGATAAAAAAACACATAAAACATCTGAAGGAACACAACAAGGGACAGGAAACCACGAACCTCGAAAATGGTTGAAGAGATTATCGCAGACGTAACGGGCAGCTTCTGGACCGCCATGGCCATCGTAGACACCGACGAAGGTCCCAAAATCGCCGGACTCGATCTGGCTCTGATCCTCGAGCACTTGATTGGCTTGAACCACTGCCATGGAGAAATCTCCGTAGCCATACTTGCCGAGATCGCGGAACCAAAGTAATCCGTCTTTGCCCTCTCCGCCCGAAACGGACCCGGACCCGGAGTTATCGCAGATTTGCCCGAATGGCTTGAAGCAAAGAGAAAGCAGATTCATCAATGAACCTAACATTCAACATCTCTCAGAAACCCTGACCCAAACCCTCTCCCGGAACCGTAACCCGCCGAAATTTTCTTACTTTTGATCCGATTCGAAAAGGGACGGGATTGTGACAAACAGGAGAGAGAGAGAGAGAGAAAGGGGGGGAGGGAGAGAATGATCTAGAGAATAGAAACGAGAGAGGGAAAACCCTAGTTCTTCTTAATGGAGGGGGGAAGATGCGCAGGATAAGGTGTGGCGTATGATAAGAGGGAAGCGCAAGGTAGCGGAGGGTGACGGTGGACGTGTCCTGTCCGGTTGTCGAGGAACAGAGAGAGTCGTCTATGTAATTTTTTGTCCGAAGAGAGCGGAGGAGGAAGCGTCTTGGGCTGTTCATTTCTCCAACACCATTGTCCTTTCCTTTTCGTGGCCCATTATCTTGTTTTTTTTTTATATATATAGGAAAAATATGAACTTAATATTTCATTTTCATATTTTAAAAAAAAAATGAAACGCATGGGTGTGTTCAAAGCACTTGTTATTTGGGTCAAAAAGTGGGTTCATGAAAAACAGAACCACAGGAGACAGAAGGAGACCCATCAAAGCTGAGTTGTGGTTTTACACTATAAGAACAAAGAAGGCCACAACCCATCCATCTATCCTTTAGGTGACTCCCCACATATTTCTTTATTACATTTGTTGATGCAAATACATCATTTTGTTCACTTGATCAGCCGACATGTTCTAGCCATTAGGACTTTGCAATGGTAAACTTCATTTGTTGACACTCAAACAAAACTTGCTGGATGAAACAAGGGCATGGACATGGACGAGGTTTGTGGATTACGAGGTAGCGGCTGACGGGCACTTACCCAATGTGTTCCACAATATATAATCTCCCGAAGCAACCTGTTGCAGATAATAAAGGCATTCCAAAACGTGATCAGCCGTAACAAGAGCATATCATGCTTTGGGCAGCTCTTAAGAAACAGAGGAGGAGGAATTGAAGATTGTTTACATGTGTAAGAATGTAAATACCTGAGTGGAAAACTCGACCGGAGCTTTAGTGGCTGGGTAGATATTGACCTGACACATGAATAGAGCCACATATGTTAGCACTAACCTCAGAAGATGATCATGTATGCCAGGACACTAGAGAGACCTGGATTCCAGGTTCTAGATGTGGTTCAAAACTGAGATTTCTCATCCAGAAGAAGGACTGCTCTCCTAAATCCTTACCGATTTTGTATCGATCGACATTCTAGATAGAGATGCCCCAACAATCTTGAACGAGACCTGTAAATGGTTTGTTCGAAAGCACCAAGCTCTTAGAAGCAGAAGATCAGATAAATGTTTGCTTGAATTGAAAACATCACTGGTTTGGTTGGCCTCCGCTCATTGTCCTAGAGTTTTTCGAGGGGGGAAGGAGAGATATACTAAAATACCTTAGCATAGTTATATGCCTGCCAGCAGAACGGCTCCTCCAATTCAGCTGCTGGGAGGTCCTTACTCATTTTCTGCACCAAGAACTCCTCTACGTTCACCACACTGTCTGTACCCTCGGCAGTTTCACCGTCACTCTCTTCATCGGCCCCCCTTCTGCTCTGCAACGGACTAAACTTAATCGTCCCAGGGAAAGTTGCCTCGAGGCTTTTCCCTGAAAGACTCCGCCCGCTGCCCAGAATTTTCCACTCAACAGCGTGTTCAGTGGTTGAAACCGTCCCAGCTGATGGAGTTCCATCAAAGGCAATGATCCTTCTCCTCGGAAAAGGCATAGTCACAGTGCAAAACTCCATGGCCAGAGGAGCTTTATACCCTTCCATGAGACGCAACTTGAAGAGGAATGCACCTTCATCTTCTGAGACCATCGATAGCTGGTAAAACCCTTTCACCGGAGGTCCAAGTCCGCAAGCCGCTTGGTAACGCATCAGCACGAAATTACCTAACGGAGGTTGGAAAACAACGTTCTGCTTGTCGATCCCATGTGCTGGAACCTGAGTGCATGGATGGAATGATACAGCCTCAACGTGGGCCGTGCTCAGTCCTGTCAGGGGAAACGACACATCCGGCAGCCCTTCAAGCTCAGCCCTACAGTTTATCTGTCCGGCGATCGATATACTATCCGGAATCTCGTCCCGGTCGTACATTGCAGCGTTGACTGTCTCGTGGATTGTGAACGATAGCCTTTGTTTTCCTTTATATAGATATGGCTTCCATGCCGGCTGCTTCAGCTCTTGGGGAGGAGGGTCAACAGAAGAAAAGCCATTTGCTTTGATCGCGAAAATGTTAGAGAAGTTGAGGTCTAAGGGGGTCCCTGTAAATTTTGCGTTTTAACCGTGTATCAATAAGAAAACAATTGGAGTAGGATGCATGAATAGGGTATTTAATGAGGAAAGGATAATACTAACCAAATGGTATTGCACTAGTGATGAAATTTCTGAGCAAATCTTTATCCAATGACCTTGACCCTATTTTAGGAGCATCTGATGCCGCAGCTCCAGTCACTGCAGCACCAGATGGGGAAGAAGATGCAACTGGTGCAGCTACAGGTTTTGCCCTTGACGAGATGCCAATACTGCCTGTTAGTGAATCAAACAACCCACCTACTGATGGTGATGCACTTACAACAACCTCAGGTTCAACTGTGTCACCGGAAATTACGTCGCTAAATGCATGAGCTACCATGAAAGCTCTGAAGCACAAATCAGAAAGAAAAAAAAAATTAGGAACTCAAAAACTGATTTAAAAGAAAATATGAGTAAAAAACACGAGGTTGTCCGACCCTCGTACGGACTGCAACACAAAATAGTGACTGCCTCAAAATTAAAAGATGCAGATGCAGGTGTTGTGATTGTGCAAGCTATTCATCAGTAGTTTACTCTTAATAGCTTAACCTTATGCCTTTTTGTAGCTTTACCTCTAGCTAAAATTATACTTTATAGAACGCCAAATGCAACATGATCCACAAAGAAAATATTGGGAGATTCATAACTAATAAACAGGTTATCCTTGAGACCATCTAAAGTACCCTGTGATGGATGGAATGTCAAGCAAGAGAGATGACAAACTCAAATCTTCGCCAACAGCCGGTCCACAATCAGATCTTCTACATAACTTGATGTAATCCTTTAGCTCCCTCGGTTCAACCAATGGCAACACAAGGATGCAATACAGGCCTTTTGTGTGCAAGATTAAGGGCCATAATATGTTCTTATCTCCTTCCTCGTCCTTGTGATTTTCCTCTTCCTCATCTTCGCCTATGCAGATGCTGATAATATGTCGAGTAATCGGATCATCGACCCATGAATCTGATCCTTGTGTCGATTGAGCTACACGTATGCCATATCCACGAATTGACACTTCCCTGAATTGAATAACAAACATATCACATTTCCAGAAAAGACCACACAACATAAATATGCACAAGACATAACTCAGCAAGAATTTCTGTAAATTGGTATCAGGGGCAAGACAAACCAGCTTGACCTACCGTGTCTTTCTTCGGGCAAAAGCTTCTGCCAGTTCCAGATCAGTGGGAAGCCGAGGAGGATCCTGGCCAGTGTTCCCATTTTCCCTTTTGAAAGCAGTGCGCCACTGTTTCTCAACAACCGGAAACCTCCTGCCCTCATTCACATCCAAAGAATCAATTGAAAATACAGATGTTCTTCAAAAACATCAGTCATTTGTCAAATGGGTGATCAAATTCAAACCTCGAAAAAACAACAGCGTCCTGATTGTTGAGTATCCAGAGAGCTCTAATACTGCAGCTGGAGGGCATTGCTCAAGAATGAAACTGAAAATTATGGAGACTGGTTCGGGTAAATTTGGCCACCTGCAATTGAATCATATCGCTGGGCTCGTTCAGAGCCGCGAGGCAAGATGAAACACTCACTTTCCTGGCTTCGGAGAGGGGCAACGAAACCAGTCATGACACCCAATAAAACATTTGTGGAAATCGATGTGCTTACAGTGCATCAATGAATCCTCCAAAATGCGAAACCTTAAGCCCTTCTGAAGCATAACTCGATTGATACGATGATTCTAAAAAAACCTCTCTTCACAATCCCAAAACCTTAAGCTCTACCATGGCAGAATTCAATTACCACGATAGGATAACCAGTCAGACACTCAATTACTAGTTATACAGAGACTTGCCGGGAAAATTTCAGGAGAACAGCAGAGAGCTCTGGAATTAATAGGAACGAAAGGAGAGATACCCGAATGCGAAATCACCATGTAAGGAATTGGGTGGCGATTAAAAAGAAGAGCGGGAGGAGGAAGAACAATCGAAGTCGAATAATAGAGATTCACCGGAAATTCGAGCGTAACAACAACCACAGGAAAGAATTCGTCGCCGCCGGCAGCCTTCACGGAGAGATTCAACGGTGCATCCAGCACATTTGAACGTGAGGTAAGAGGAATCTAAGAAGAAGAAAAAAAGCCCAAATGAAATGGCTTAAATACCATCCTCGGCCCAGGTAGTCTCTCGCATGCCCTTCGAGTGATGAATTTACAGTATTTACTTAATAACGAAATAATTCAACCGATTTAAAACGGGTAAACAAATCCGAATCTCATATAGAAATCGAATAATTAAATTGATTATAATTTTTTAAAACCGAAAAATTAAACTCGAATCGAAGAACAAAAAGACAAAAAAAGTGTTGAGATTTTATGAAAAAATAAATATTCTTATCAATAAAAACAGAAATTCGATATAAAAATAGAATAATTAAAACTTTTGTAAAAATAAAACAAGCGAATGCGAACCAAACCCTAATCGAAATCCATACGAATTGACAAAAACTAAGATCTCATCGCTACAATATACATAGACATAAAATTAAAGCTTACAAGGAATAAGAAATAAGTTTATTTTTTTAATAAGTAAATTCGGCATTTTATATTTTTTTTTAATTCCAAACATAACAAAGGTCAAACGAATTGGTCCGATGGTTGAGCCGACAGGGCCCGCACTCTCGTACAATCCAGACACAAGTCAAGCAGGGGACATCGGCCGAGGTGAAATCCCTGCCATCGTCATAGATACGGAACCGGTGAGAACGGAGAGGGGCCCACCGGAAGCGACAGTAAAAAGAGGAGGTGCCCTTTGTATTGGGATAAAATCCAAAGGCAGACGACGTTCCGTACGAGAGAGAACGAGCGGTCAAATCCTCCCCGTCCACCGATTTACAGCGGTAATTCAACGTCGAGCCATCGCCCAGGCCGTTGATGATGACCACAGTCTCTCTCTCCCTGAAAATATCGGGCTCGCTCCATTCTTCTTCCACCTCGAACACGTCGTCGTTTCGTATGCCTTCTGGCCCTGGCCATGGCCATGCCGGCGCGACGAGCAAAGTCACCAATACTGTAATAAGAAACGAGGGTTTTTTGAGAAACGATGCCATGCTCTCTTTCTTTTTCTTTGATGATTGTTTTTTTTTTTTGTATTATACAAAGATTTACAGAATTAAAATTCGTATTATTCATTCAATTAAAACAATATTGATATAGATATAGATATAGATAGAATAAACCTAATTTCACTAGGAAACTATAAGCTAATCTTATTAAGACATTGATACTAACAATATAATTTCATAATAACTCAAAGTCTCCATAATTTCCAATATATATGGTAAGTTTCATTTTTGTGGGATATGCGCAAAAGATTTTTTCATTCATTAATTGAGGGGCAATATATATATATATATATATATAGATGGTTATTATTGGGTCATATATAGGGTTCGACTAGTTGTATCGCAACGATTGCGTTTGTGGATGACAGAGTTTTCAGAGTGTGTGATAGTGATTACGAACGATTAGTACTGACTTATTGATAAATTATTATTGGTAATGTTTGCGGGTGGGTGCGGTTAAAAATGAATGGTTCGTTGTGGTTTCGGTTGCGTTTTGATATAAATTATAAAAAAAATATTATTTTAAAATAATTTTTTATAATAGTTTTAGTTAAATTTTTAATATGATTTGATAAAAATTATTTACTAAATTTACAATAATTAAATAATAAATTTAAAATATAGATATTATCAATTTACTTTATTTTTAAGTAAAAAATAATTTTATTATAAAAATTATGAAAAATAATTATTATTAAACCGAAAAACTATATTATTATATTTTTATTAAAATATAATATTAAAAAATAATATCAAATCATAACATTAAATAAAATCATCACCAATAAATAAATATATTAGTGCTCTAATCATGTGATTTGAACTGTTATCATCAATGATCGACCTTTTAAGGATAGCTACCAACTCAAATGGGCCTTGGGCCCAAATAGATTGTGGTTCTGAGCCTACACAAATTCACCCCGTGGCCCGAAAAGGATCTTAACCCGTCTGCGAGAGACACGTGTCGTCATAAAAGTCAAATGCAACAAAAGCTCCGAGAGGAGGCAGAAGGCAAGATCGGGGAAGAAGATGGGGATGATCGACACCTGGCTGGATCAGCACCGTCCGATTTACGAGGCGGCTACTCGCCATCCCTTCATCCTCGCCATCCGCGATGGATCCGTCCACCTCTCGTCCTTCAAGACCTGGCTGGTACGGAAATCATAACAAAAAACCGGCAAGCAGTCGGAGTACCGCTGACGAAAACGACGCGTTGTTGCAGGGGCAAGACTACCTGTTCGTGAGGGAATTCGTGCCGTTCGTGGCGAACGCGCTGATCAGAGCCGGCAGGGAGTCCGGTGAGAGCTCCGACATGGAAGTTGTGTTGGGAGGTCTGTCGGCGTTGAACGATGAGATCGATTGGTTTAAGAGCGAAGGTTCGAAGTGGGGTGTTGACTTCTCGACCGTTCTTCCTCAAAAGACCAACCAGGATTATTGCAGGTACCCTTTGATTTTTTTTAATTACCCATTAGAAAGAAAAAAAATTAGCTTTTGTCTGATCACTGGGGTTGACTTCCGAGGTTCTTGCTTGATGCTTCACTCGGTTTTTACTTGATCATGATTGAAAAAGGCCCGTCTTTTATGTTCAAAGATTGTTCTTTTCTTCCGACCGGAATCTGGGTTTTTTTTTTGTAAATGATATATTAACAAATTAATCCTGATTTTTTTTGTTTGTTCTTCGGGTTTCTGGAGAAACTAACGGAGAAAGAAGTGAAGTACTCAGTGGTGATGACAGCGTTCTGGGCGATTGAGGCGGTGTACCAAGAGAGCTTCGCTCACTGTCTGGAAGAAGGAAACAGAATTCCGCCGGAGCTGGCCGGAGCTTGCCGGCGTTGGGGCAACGATGGCTTCCGACGGTACTGTTCCTCGGTCAAGGCCATCGCCGACCGGTGTCTGGAAAACGCCTCCGGCGACGATCTCGCCGAAGCGGAGGCAGTTTTCGTTAGTGTTCTTGAACACGAGATCGCCTTCTGGGACATGAGCCGCGGAATATGAATCTTTCTAAGGTCATTTCCGTGTTCTTTATGCAAACTTCGGCGTTTGTCATCGTTGTGTGTTCGTTCTTTTTTCTCTTTTGAACCCATTTTTCTTTTCTTTTTTTTTTTCTTTTGTCAAAAACCTGCAAAGATATGGACTGAATCCACAGATTACATGAACAGATTTGACATTTCACTTTGAGCTTATTACAACATTCAATGGTGTCGATATCTCTCTGCAACATCTAGAAAAAATATCGATGATTATTTTTTGGATATATTCCAAAAAACCTGACAAAAAAGTGCCATGTCTTCGTAAAGAAAACATAAGATAACATGCTGTCTTTTTTTCCTATTCATATCTCTTCTGAACTCAGAAAACACCGGAAAGGAGATTAGCGGCGGTGGAGATGGCGGCGCCGGTGAGAGCACACTGAACAACTTGCTCGTGGGTTGTCCTCTCTGACAACGTCATAGCCATCGCCACGCCCGTCAACGCTCCCGCCACCGCGCTGTTTTTCTGCCGGAAAAAGGTTACATCATCAACATTCAGAGCTCTTTTCCCTTGAAAAAAAAAAACTCCAGATTCCATGCCCAATACACTTGGGTTTTCATCTCTCATAGTATTAGCGCGCAC